TTTGCCCAGTCCTACATCCTAAAGTATTTCCCCTGTGTTTTCTTCTAGGAGTTTTATAGTTTCAGGTCTTATATTTAAGTCTTTAATCTATTTTGAGTTGATTTTCCTATATGGTGAGGGATAGGGGTCTAGTTTCATTCTTGTACATATAGATATCCCAAAACTATTTTTGGTTTCATTCCTAATTTAAAATTTTTCTTGCATGTTTGTGCTGTTTTTTTTTTTTTTTTTTCAGGCCTAGCATATCAACTATGTGTTACTCTGATTTCCTAAGAACATTAATATGTGATAATACTAAACCAGTACTATCATACCAAAAGATTAGTGTTGTTGGGAGAACTGGTTTTCTCATGAAGACTATAATATTGACAGTGATATGGTTAAAATATTTCTGAGCAATCCTTAATTTGGAAGGCACTTATTGTAACTTAGTGCTGATGAAATACTATTCCAGTATTACATGAGCCTCTAAATAGGGAGGATATTTTAGCAGTAAAGAATCACCTGAACTATTTAATAAAATAATTCTGTATATGCTATACATGACACTTCATGTACATTTGTGCTATTTAAAATATTTTGCAAAAGGTCAATTTTTAAATTTTCTGATTCAATAAAATTTAAATTGGATGAGAAAAATTTAGGGAGAAAAGATGAAATATGAATTTTAAATAGTGATTATTAATTGTTAAAGCTTGGGTGATGGATTTAAAGCAGCTTATTTAATACTCTACTTTTGTGAGTAAAATTAAAAATATCCTTGATAAAATTAAATTAAAAAATCAGGTAGAGGACACTGACAAAATGCCAGTAATTTTTTAAAAAGGAAGTATTTAAATTCTAAGATCTTTTAGTCTTTTCACTTCCATTTGAGATAGTATAGTCTTTATTATTTTAGCTATTCTTTTTCCTAAGCCTCAGGATTTCTTCACTACCTCCTTCTGGAAATAAAAGCATTATTTCTACAACGAAGCAATGCTTTTGAGGTGGTCCCTCCATGTTAGGAAAGAATTTAAAAAGAAATAATACCCCAGTGTATTATCTTACTTGTGGATGAAAGTCCATTGTATTAATTGAGGTTAATACCTTCAAGACTTATTCTATGTTTATATTACGTATAAAATATTATTACATATAAAATGTATTACACATTTTAAGGGTATACATATGTATTCGTGTGTGTGTGTGTGTGTGTGTGTGTGTACTTCAGAAAGTTCATGGAAAATAGAATTGAAAGATAATAGAATCTTTCCATGAACTTTTTGAAATACCCTCATATATTACTTTTAGGCAGTCTTGTTATATATGTGAGTCCACAGTTAATTTCCAAGCTTTGATTCCCTTTATGTTAACTCTGTATTCCAGTAAAGTTTTCACTAATGTTAAATTAATCTCTTTGAATTGCAATAATATGTGGTTTGTTTCTAGATCATTAGGAAATTTAAAAGATTCCTTAATAAAACTCAGTTTTATCTTCTGTATTACATGGCGATAGAAATATTCAATTAGTACTAATGTTTATGATTTTTACTTTTCATTGTCAATCATAAAAGTGTTCATATGTAAGCCAGATATTTTTTGTGACTAAATGTCATGTAATAGTATCAGTTGTATCATAATCAATAAAGTTATTAAGATGAATCTTTTTTTCTGTGTCACAGGCTGTTTTAAACATGGCTAAACTTGCTTTCAAAATAGTTCTAACATAATAACTACCTTTGATTCATTATCTCTTTTCTGCCAATACATTCTCTGGATGTTTGTTTTATCATGAGAATAATGGCCACTGTATTAGTTAGTTTTGTGTTGCTATAACAAAAACACCTGAGACTGGGTAATTTATAAAGGAAAGAGGTTTATTTGGCTTACGATTCTGGGACAGCTGCATCTGGCACAGGCCTCAGGCTGCTTCTACTCATGGTGGAAAGAGGCAGGTACAAGCAGAGCACATGGCCAGAGGAAGCAAGAGAGAGAGAGAGATACCAAGGTCTTTTTAAACAACCAGTTTTCACGGGAATTAATAGAGCGAGAACTCACTCATTAATCCCCCCGCCCCCAGGGAGAGCATTAATCCATTCATGGAGGATCCGCCCCCATGACTCAATCAGTTTCCAACACTGCCACATTGAGGATCAAATTTTCACATGAGTTTTAGAGGGGACGACACATCCAAACTCTATCAGCCACTGACGAAAGGACTAATGATAATGGAATCAGGCTGTGTAGCAAAGATTTAGGTTAAACCTTATGAATAAAACCTGCTGGGCGAGGGAACACTAACAGTCGGTCACCTAAGCAGATCATGAAGATGTTGTGATTCCTTCTATCATCAGGAACACTTGTTTGGTTTTGACAGTAAAGTGAAGGAATCAGATTCAGATGATTACAATTGGAATAGCATTGCAGGGACCAAATCAAGTGACTACATAAAGGTTCTTTTATTTCCTGTTTTTTTTTTTTTTTTAAATCCATCAATTTGGCTTTAGGATGAATACAATAACAGCATTAATGAGGATACATTGTGATTATTAATGAATGAATTTATTTCCATCTGGATTTCCAATTTATTAAGTACCTAAATTCTGTTTACTTCAAGATTCTTTGAAGAAGATAGTGAAAACATTTCCATTAAATGGGATGACTTATGTGGAATCTGACGTAAAGTCAGATTGGCTGATGGATACAACTCAGACCCATAGACCATAGTTTGACTCAGAGTGTTTGTTTGTTTAATTGGGTCAGTATTTTAAAATCAGGAGATTACAGGTAAAAATGTGGTTGGCTGTTATCACACAATTGGCAACATAGGGTTCTCATTTCCACGGGAACGTCATCTACGTTTGAGTAGCTACTTCCACCTCTAGGCAAGACCTGCTCCCTCATCCCACTTCACTTGCCTGACTCTGACACAGGTGTTTGGAACATATTAGCTGAATCTTAATCTTAGAAAGTTTGTCAGGTAAACTGTTTTATAGTACCTTGAGATACTGGTTATAAAAATGAGTTATCTGGATAAGCCTGAATAAATCATTCATAGTTTTTAAGAAGACTTCCTGGGCTGAGTTAGTTGGCTACTTTTCTGACCCTGTATACCTTTTTAGTCACATTATGTTGTTGATCTTCTAAAACTTATGATAAATATCTAATTGTATATCCCGTAGTGCACTATGAGCTATGAGTGCCGTTAGGGCAAAGACTATGAGTTATTTTGTTTTTGTTCTCAGCATCTAATACCTGGTACACAGTAGGTATCTAATCTGTTTTTATTTTCAGAAAAAAAAATTAGTTATTTCTATTTTTTTAATTACAAGCAGCTCCTTTGGGTAAAGAGGATTTTAAAAAGTTATTTTCACACATTGTACACAATTATTGAAAATCAACTCTGTACCTACCCCGGATGTATGTATAATAAATTTTTTAAAAGTTATTTCAGTAATTTTCAGTTTTTCTGTCTAAAATTGAAAACAGTACTGAAGATACAAAGTTCCTAGTAGGTGTACAGGTTCTCAGATCGAGAAAATTTTGTTAGGTAATTTTTTTTCACTTTATTTTAAAATAAATATTCTTTTGATATTCTTAATATGTTTTAAACAAATAAATCTCTTTGTTACCATTTAATTTTGCCTTTGCAATGAACTGAAATTGGCAGTCTTTCAAACTCCACTTATTTACTTGTTTATATAATTAACCATTTGGGAGTTTGTTTTATATTCCTAAAACATCTAGTTTTTTTATTTTAAGTAAATTAAGATTGAGATAGTTTTAAGATACTTTTAATATCTTTCTTAGGTCATTTGTGATCTCTTGGGTTAGAGATAAAATGTTTGGCCTTCGTCCATGTTATTGTGTTAGGGTTTTCAAATAGTTTTGAGAAATGGAAAAAGCACTCTGGTGTCTGTTCATGTGAAAAATGGAAAGATTTTATTTAAAATTTTCTCAATGAAAAATGTGCATTATTACCTTTTCTAGATATAGTCCCAGAGACCCGAAATAGTGTAGCCTAATAACTAAATAGGGAACGTTGTTGTTGATCACATTTATAGCATAAAAGCAAATAACTATTCTTGAGGGGTTGGGTTGCATTTTCGTTCTTAGTTAAAAACCACTGTTGGTGGTGGTTTTTCCTAGTTGTAATGTGTTTAGGACTTTTAGACATTCTACATTTGATCGTTTCTGCTCTTCTATCAAGTACCATCTACTTTTCACAAAAAATCCAGGAGTTGGAGGAGTCCAACCACGTTTTCAAAAACCTAAACGTCTCTGGGGAAAATGACTCCCTATAAAGTTAAACATAATGCATATCTTAAAAGGTCAGTATGTTTAAAAGATATATGCTTCAACTCAGTGTTTTACTAGACTAGGTAGTTTCTTTTAACTTTATGAAGTAGAGTATTGTAACTGCTTAGTGAGGGCAGATATCCTCTGAGAAAATCAAAAGAAAAAATTTCCTTCCATTCCAAATTTAGACATCTAGTTAGATTTTTAGCTGCATGCAGTTGGTTCTAGTATATATCAAGATGACAAATTTAGGTGTTGGAAGAGTGGAGAAGTGGATAGGTAGACATAGACTCAGCTTAAACGGGTACTTGAAAGCATTGTGAAACTGCTTTGGTTTTTACCAGCCTCATTCAATTTCTATCATATTAACCTGAAATGTGCTAGAGAAAATAAACCAAGACAAATTAATTTATTTTTGTCTGTCTTTTGACTTAACATTTCAGGATTAGACTTGGCTTCTATTCCAGATTCAGGGTTCCAGAAAAGTAAATAATACACAATACTTAGGCTTGTCTTCAATACCCTTGTTTTGTTATAGCCAATTAGGCTGATTTTAGTGATGGTCAGAGGCTTCTAAATAGGAGGGCAGCAGTAACTCCTGTATACCAATTTCCAAATGGTGTCTCTGTGTTCCAGCCCATCACAACAGTTTTAAAACCAGCTTTTGTTTTTGTTTTTGTTTTGTTTTGTTTTGTTTTGTTGCTTTGTTTGTTTTTTAACAGGAGAGCCAGTGTAACTCCTTCAAGACTGGAGTGATACACACTGCATCTGCATCTGCCTCATGTGAGTTCTCATTTTGGCAGCAGCACTCTGCTAGGCTGGAACCTCTGTGGAGGTTTGCCCTTTATTTTTCTAAAAGCTATAAACTACTACACAGTGTCTCTTGGTGGCACAGGTAAAAAGTGCATGAGAATTCCAAACTTCCCTACAGAAAGTTTTTGGCTCGTTCCAAAGGGACTTTCTCCTCTAACATAGGTTCTATCTTGTATTAGTAGCATCTACTCAAATCAGAGCCCACAACTTTCATCCCTACAACATGCAGTTTATTTTTTGAAGAACCTTTTTTTTTCCGTGCAGATTATGGAGTAAATAATATCTTTAAATGTTCTCTGTAGATTCAACTTTCAAAGCGTTGGTTGTTCTCTTTATAGTCTAGTTATGTAATCTGAGAACACTGTGTGCTGTCCTAGTGGCTGAAGCAGTCCTCTTTTTTGGACTCTGGCCCTTAAAATAACTTCTTTCTTTGTCTTTGGATATTGGATAAGTTGGGGGTAGGCCTGAGGACCTTCTTGGAGGAAAAAAATAAGCAGTTAATATGTGAGGTTGTGTTTACTCTGAAGCTCTTGGCTGGGTTTTTGAACCAGAGAAAGTCAGTTATAAAAGTTGAGCTTGAAGCTGTGCATTATTTACTTGCCACAGTTTTGTGAGAGAAATTGAAATTAGAGTCTTTGCAGCTGTGGAGAGGCATAGAGCTCTATAGTCCAAGGTGATATATATGGTTCCCTGCAAATCTGAGGTTGGCTTTGAAGGGCTTGGATGATTTATAAAGGAATTTTGCTTTTTTTGTTATTTTATTTTTTAAGGAATGGTGGTACTTAATAAGCTTCAGGAATTTTTACCACCAGGTCAGAACAAATATGTTTGTTCCTGAGGGACACTTAGAATAAAACACCTAAGTTCATGCTCTGTGCAGGTGCAGTGCTGCTTCTTCAGACATGGTTGTAGTGTATAGTTCTCTAGTAGATGATTTAATGACCTGGGATTTAGTGTTGCTGAAATGATTATCCGGGAAGCTTATGAGAAAATGTCAATAGCTTGTAGATCTTACTGATTAATATAGAACTTGATGAAATAGTGTTGTCAAAGTGGAACATGGACTCTCCTTTGCTAAATCCATTCCCACCTGTGACTAGAGCAATTTATTTTGGACTAGTTGAAAGAAATTGGTGGAAGAAGTAGTGTATTTCCATACTCGAGCTTAAGTTTTGATGGCCTGTGTAATCTGTAAATTCATTTTTAGCAGTGGGTGGTAGTATACCTCACCACAAAGAGCTTTGGATGAGACTCAGAGAGACATAAATTCTGGCTTTATCTAATTTTTATACTTGCTATATAACTTTAGGTTACAGCAAATGGGGAAGATATAACATATTTTTAGGAAATACCCTGTACTCACTGAGAGAGGAAGTTTAAAGTATTTATTTGTATAGGTGAAATTTCTAGAACGTCACCTCAGTTGAACACTTGGGAAGTTCTGCCCTGTGAATAAATACAATGGCAAATGTATAGTGTTTTATTTTCTGCTATTCTAGTACTTGTGCTGGCAAAGTGGGGATTTGAGATTTTTCCCCCTGTAATTTTTTTTTTACTAAAAATTCTAAATAAATTAAGTTGAGCTTCAATCCAAATTGTCTCATAGACATAGATTTGAATTACCAGTTATTTTATTGCTTTATTAATTATCTAATTCTTTAGGGAAAAATGCTGATTTAGGGGTGAGCCTGGGTGGGGCAATTCAGGTTTATTTTTTGTCTCCCATTCTTAAGGCATAGCCAACAAATTATCCTTCTGAAAAATTAATTGAAAACATTTTACATGGGCCAAATCCTATAAGAATGAATGTCAGTAGACCCAAATTACTTAGCTGTACTGGAATTTTATTTCATTGAATATTGTTTGAAATAAGTAGGGCTTTGGTTAGGATTGAGAAATAATTTTTGTTTTATGGAAATTTTGTTAAAATGAGATTTACTTGCATTTGGGATGGGAGCTTGGGATGGGGGGGAGTGGGAATTGTTATTTTATATTCTCAACGTAACTCAAGTTTACATCAGTAGGCACCATGCTGTACTGGTTTTATGATGGTACACCAGCTCTTACTCCGTGTGTGTGAATATGTAGCACTTCCTTTACTTCAGTGTGCATCATACAGATTTAGAAATTCCACAATTAAGGCTTTAACAAGTTTTTTTTGGGGGGGGGGGGAAGGCAAGAGTTGAGGGGAGGAAAGATATATAGCCAGTTCTGAAAATGTTAGCCAGGATTAGCATTAGCATTAGCATTAAATTATTACCCCCAAGACAACAAAAGAAACAGACAGCTTCTTTTGGCATTGTTCTAATGAAAAGAGACTCAGACATCTCCTAAAGGACCTTAAAAGTTTTAGGCTTCTGTTTTTTAAATCTCACAAATGTTTATTAAAGGATTTTGAAAGTCCAGCTTTCTTTTTTAAAATTTCAATTTAATTTAAAAAATAAATACATAATTAATATGTTAAAAATTTTAAAGGTAAAGAAAGTACATGAAAGCCTTCCTTCCTCTTAGTCACTCAGTTCCCTTCTTTGGAGGCAACCAGTATTACTGGTTCGTTTTATGTATTTCCAGAAATATTCTAAACAATTGATTTTTGGAAAGGGAAATTGGCTCGTATTCATTAAAATATTAGTACTAATTTGGACAGGCAGATTAATTGCAATGAAAAATCAGTTTGAGCTGTAAGCTAAAGGTGTTAATACAAGGAAGATCTATAATAATATAATAAAATAGTTGTGTTATTATGAAACTACAAGAATAGGATGGATATTTTTGCCTCATTTGGCACTTAGCAAGCTGGCAGGTGTTTTTTGTTTTGTTTAATACGGATTACACACTCCTAGAGACGGAAGAAAAGTATGCTTACCTAAATATTTCATTTGGAAGACACCTATTTAAAGAAGTAACATTTTCTTTATGCTCATCTGCAGTAATAACTCTAAAAAATTTCAGACATATACAGAGGTAGAGAGAAACCCTCATAATCTGAAATCCATGTTATTTGTCCTGTAGCAAACAGTATGCTCCTTTGGCGGATGAGAGATATTTTTCTTATACACATTTGCCTGTACCCATCCTGCCATAATCACGTTTTAAAAATGAGTCATAATTTTTTCATGTCTAATTCCATGTTCACTTTCAGATTTCCCTAATTGTCTCAGACATGTCTTTTTATGGTTGGTTTGCAGAAATAACTTTAAAATGCAATTTTGATGGCTAATAACATCATTAGGGCTCGTAAGAAAACAAGTTAATCTGACAAGTAGAACAAATATGTTGATTAGAGAAGGAATATAAAGGAACTACCAAGCCAAATGGTAATTCTAAAAATAGACTTTTTTTTTTTAAAAGCTCATTTTGAAGGATTCCTATATCAGTTATGCACATCAGTGCAGCCTGCAGCATGTACAGACCTCTCTTACCTAGTTTTCTGTTTACTCATATTCTCATGGTTAATATCACAGCTGTGCATAGTAGTTTTTTTTGCCTTTAGACTATGGGAATGAAAGAATAGATAAAGGAAAAAAAATGTTTGGAATAGTTTTCCTAAGAATGAAGGAACTATTCTAAAGTGTTTGACAATTCATCTTGTTGCTGCTGCTTCTGTTGTAATATGACCTATTTCCACAGACTAATAATTGAGTTCTTTAATTACTTGGAGTAGTATAGAACATTGTGTTTGAGGGTAAATTAAAAAAATGGTAGATTTAGGAGGAGGGAGGAATGGGGAAAGAGTAGAAACTCATTCATTTTTAATGAGTTTTGTTTTAATTTGCTGTTCTTTATCCTGACTAACGAGAACCTCCTCTTTGTGCAGTGTACAAGTCCCCGGAGTATGAGTCCCTTGGCTTTGAGCTTACTGTGGAGAGATTAGTTTCTATTGGCTACCCTCAGGAGCTGCTCCGCTTTGCTTATGATTCTACATTCCCTACCAGGTAATTTTTCAAGATATTTTTGGATTAAGACCACTTCCTCTACCCCCAAAATTAGGAATTTCAAATTTATCCCTGACTCCACCCCCTCCCCCCCACCAAAAAAATCAAACAATTCTTTGTTGTTTTTGGTTGGTATTGATTCTAAAAGTGCCATGAACTTTTCATATACACCAGATCTTTTGTGTTCTTGAATTGAGTTCAGTTTATTACTATTGAAGAAGTCCCACTTGTGGGTAAGAAAAGGGATTATTAAAATTGATGTGCAGTAGTCGTAGATAGTTCTACCTTTGGCCATTGGAAAGCAGTTACGTGTTTTGTTAATACACTTAACTTGGTAGTCAGAGGCATCTTGGAAGTTTGCATTTCTGGATTTGATAGGGAAGATTTAAGATTAAGAAAGATGATGTTTATTTGAGATGCTATCACATGTATCCCACATACAACATCTTGTAAGATCCGTGCCCTGGGCACAAATCCTACACGCCGAAGTGACTCGCCTCACAGAGACCACAAGACAAGAGATCGCTGCAATTTAAGCAAGAGGTGTTTATTCAGCATATGCTGGGTCGCCTTTTTCATAAGCGGCCCAGAACTTACAATACCAAGGCTTTTTATACATTTTTTTTTCTTTTCTTAGACAAACTCTCGTAACAGGCTGTGCAGCTAATTAACTGTGGCACCTTAAGATTTATGGTTAGGCTCAAAAGACTAGCACCATTAGTCCCCTGATAAAAGATGTTATATGTTTATCTTCCCTGGTCCAGCCAGGTGTTCAGAAGATAAGGGGGGGCTGGTTTAGTCCTTGGGCCCGGTTCTGCCTTGACTTCTGCCTGACCTCTTAAAAGCTGCTTTACTTAATATACCTTTAGATATGTTTTCCTCGTTAGTAAGTGCTTACAGGAATAATTTGTGTAGGTTAGGTTAAAGTTCATATTTCTCTGTTACAATTTGTGCAGGCTAAAGCTACATAGGCAATAATATGGGTTAGAGTCACAATTTTTATATCAATCTAATAGAGGAAAATAGGACCTCTCAGTTGTCCAAGGACAAGACTCTGCTTTCGAGTGGCACCTGCTGTATTAAGAGGAATCAAAGTTTACACCTTTTTTGATTAAGCTCATACTCCTTACAGTAAACAATTGTGATGATTTATCTATCTGGACGGAGTAAATATTTTTTAGTCGCTCTGGGATTAGTTTTTAAGATTTTACTCACTCACTTTTAGCCTCTAAGATTATACAAGTAGTATTTTGGGACATATTTGAGTTGCTGCAAAGCTTGAATTAGATAATCTTAGTTCATGGTGATTGAGTAGTACTACATAAAATTATTACTTGTATTCCTTTGCATTATCAGTAATGTGTTCATTTTCACATAGGGGACTTGTCTTTGACACACTATATGGAAATCTTTTGAAAGTCGATGCCTATGGAAACCTCTTGGTCTGTGCACATGGATTTAACTTCATAAGGGGGTGAGTGCAAGGAATATTTTGCCTCTTCCTAGTGTTTTTATAGTTAAATAATATGAAGATGACATTGTCTCCCCAGATGTAATATACTTCCCTATTCCTTCTATCATTAAAGAGCAATTCCTTTACATAAGGATAATTAACAGTTATTAGGCAGTTAGAACCAAACTGATTTATAAATACAGTTAGCAATTATATTTTGTTTAAATTAAGCACCTTCTAATTATACAGTGTCCAACAAAGCTAATCTTGAAACTTGCCCCCCAAAACTGTAGTAGTTTTGAACTTATTTGATATTCTAAGATTTTTTATTTTCTCCTTTTTAATACAGTTCTCAGGTAGCTGCACAGAAGAGGTATGTACATAACAGTGTTTGGATAAATTTTAAACTACAGAAATTTAAGTGATTAAAAGATTTTTAATAGTTAATACATTGTTTTTTATATTCTAACGAATAGTTTGATAGTGTGATTAAAATTTTTAAAAATAGGGTTAAAAATGGATACAGGAAAATAATATTTGAAACAAATCAGGATAAGCTTTATTTTCATAATCAGAATATTTCCACTATTGTCACTAATTTGGACTTTGCACCCTAGTAAACAGCAGATAAAATTTAGTATCTGCTATTTTTGTGTTTACGTGAAACATCCTAATATAATATTTATTCCTTAAATCTTAATATCACAATTTGACAACTTCTCTAATTGTGGCTTTACATTACACATTTTCTTTGCTGTTGTACTACATTATTTACTATTGACACTGTATTGAGGTTAGAACAGCAACTTTTTTTTAACTTCTCAATATACATTATAGTCGATTTTCATGACCCTTTACCTGTTCCTCTTCCTCACTCCCTCTCTCCCCTCTCCCCCTGCATCATATCTGTTTACTTGTCTTAAAAAGTAGAACAGCAACTTTTTTTTTTTTTGACTGGTAAGGGGATCACAACCCTCGGCACTGTGTTGTCTGCACCACACTCAGCCAGTGAGCGCACCGGCCATCCCTATATAGGATCCGAACCTGCAGCGTCGGGGGGCGCTACCAGCGCAGCACTCTCCCAAGTGAGCCATGGGGCCGGCGCAGAACAGCAACTTTTTTTTTTTTTGACTGGTAAGGGGATCACAACCCTCGGCACTGTGTTGTCTGCACCACACTCAGCCAGTGAGCGCACCGGCCATCCCTATATAGGATCCGAACCTGCAGCGTCGGGGGGCGCTACCAGCGCAGCACTCTCCCAAGTGAGCCATGGGGCCGGCGCAGAACAGCAACTTTTTAAAACCAAAATAGATTGTGTCATTTTCTCATGTAACTTTTCCATATATTATTCATTATTGATGGCAAAGTAGTAAAAACACTACAGTCTACATTGAAAGTGTTAAAAGGTGTCTTTTTGACAAATAACTTTTGTGATAAGATGTAGAAACTAACTGAAATTGTACCAGAGCTGCTTTTCAATCTGAGGTCACAGCAGTGCACCACTTAGAACTGAAGAATCTGATACAAGGCTCTTCAATTGGTGTTACTGACATTACATGGGCTTAAAGATGTCAAGGTATACATAGTGAGAACAGTGTGAAGTAAACACTCACCTTGACACATCTAGGCCAGTATAACATCCGCCTTTCTTTTATTGTTCCTTTCATGAGCAGTTTGTTCAAGATTTATGAATATTAGGAAGCAGGATTTAAAACATGAAGTGATTGCAGGTAGGACTAGTAACCTAAGCTGTTTTATATACATTTATTGTCACTATAATTCAGAATCCCAATGAAGATGAACCAGGGTTCTATTGATGTCTGAAAAGGGATTTTTGTGCTATGGTGGATGGGTAGGCCAAGAAGAAAAGGAAGAGAAAAAGTTCAGTAAATTAGAACTTCAATCAAATTTACTATATCAAGATCCACAGACCTCCTCTCTTCCCCCAAATAAGCCAGTAAAGTTTCCAAATAGTTCCTTTAGAAATACATTTAATAGTGTTTCAAAAATAAGTAATTTATGAGTAAATGCAGAATCATTCAAACAGTACCTCGCACTCTGTAGTCTTTAGAGTCAAAATGAAAAGTCAGTGGAAAGAGACACTGAAGATGGAGGAAAAGGGAGAGGTAGTTACTGAAGTATAGCAGTGGACAAGGCTGGAAGGGAACTTAGGACTCCATCAGGCATCACCTTATATGCCTTGCTAATGAGTTGGGACCTCTTTTTTTGAACAGATTTTTATTCAGTGGGTCACAGTGAGTTAGCACTAAACTGTACTGTAATGTATTTTTCCCAACTCCAAGTGTAGGATTGCTGCTTTTAGATACATTACTTCCCCCTGAACTGATTGTTATTTAAAATATATATTAGCGTGATTTGACACTTAAAATTTAATTGCTAACTCTATAAATCAATTTGGGTTCTAACTGCCTAATAAATATTAGCTCTCTTTTTTTAAAGGAATTGCTCTTTAACGATGGAGGGAATTGGAAAGTATATTATTTCTTTTTTTAAAAAGATGACTGGTAAGGGGATCTTAACCCTTGACTTGGTGTTGTCAGCACCATGCTCAGCCAGTGAGTGAACCGGCCCTCCCTATATAGGGATCCGAACCCATGGCCTTGGTTTTATTAGCACTGCACTCAACCAAGTGAGCCACTGGCCGGTCCAGAAAGTATATTATTTCTTTTTTTTTTTTTTTTTTTTCCTTTTTTTTTTTTTTAGACCAGCTGCACCGCACTCAGCCAGTGAGCACTGTGAGCGCACCAGTCATCCCTATATAGGGATCCGAACCCGCGGCTGGAGCGCTCCCCAGCGCCACACCCTCCCAAGTGCGCCACGGGCTCGGCCCCAGAAAGTATAATAATTTCTAAGGAGACAATGTCATCTTACTAAACCTGACTGAGTACATTGTTACTATTCCCTTACACCTTATTTTTCATGGCAGAAAATCTTGGAAGGCTAGAAGATGAAGGGACTGGCTAGCTAGCTCAGTTGGTTAGAGTGTGGTGCTGATAACACCAAGGTCCAGGGTTTGATCCCTGTACCAGCCAGTTGCCAAAAAAAAAAAAAAAAAAAAAAAAAAAGAGGTATATCATAGAAGATGAGATATTCTGCAACATTATTCTTTATTGGGAACTCTTATTTCAGAAAAGTGGCTAAGGGGAGCTAATGTGATTTTATATGTCTAACTGGAGTTTGTGCCATTTGTAGTTAACACACTAACCCTAACAACCCTAACCCAAGCAGGAATTTACTCAAGTCACTCTGAGTATGAACTTTAAATTCAGTTTCCATTTAGATTTATTAATCTCCATATATATACTGTGAGAATTGTACATTTTTATATTTCAGTCTTTCTTCCTTTTAGTTTCTTTGAAACATTTTATTAATACTATTCCCTTCTTGAAGTGTTTCATTTCACTCTCCAAGCTTCTTATGCATCTCTAACAAATTGTTTCACTGGCTTTTTTTCTTTTAAACCCTGAATATTCTCCATGGTTCTATTCTCAGTCTCTTCTTTGTATACTAACTGGCCTCATCTACTCTCAGTTTTCATGATTTTATCTGTTACCTTATTCATAGATGATCCCAGTTATCCCTCAAGCCTGAATCTTTAAGTTCTTGACCTTTGTTTGTTAATTGCCTGTTACAAATCTGTTTACTTCAAGTGTCGTGTAGCCAAAATAGAACTCCTCTTTCATTCATTTCTTATCCAGGTTCCACCTCTCAGAGATACCTTAGCACGAGGATCATCATCTTTGACTCTTAATGTCCCTCATCTGCCACATCCAGTCAGTTGCCTGGTCTTGTTCATTGTATCTTGGCAGTCTCTCTTGAATACATTCTTTCTTTTCATTTCTTTTGTCACCACTGTAGGACAGGCCCTCCTGTTCTCATCCAGATTATTGCAGTAACCACCTAACTGATTTCCCAATACAGTCATTCCTTGGTACTTGTGAGGTTGATACCTGGACCTCCCTCAGATACCAAAGTGCATGGATGCTCAAGTCTCCAATATGAAATGGCATGGTATCTGCATGTAATCAATGTATATCCTCCCATATACTTTAAATCATCTCTAGACTACTTACAATACCTAAACAATGTAAATACTATGTAAATATATTATACTGTGTTGTTTAGGGAATAATGACAAGAAAACAAAGTTTGTACATGTTCAATATAGACAGTTTTTTTTTTTCCCAAATATTTTTGATCCATGATTGGTTGAACCTGTGGGTACGGAACTGGCTGGCTAGACTTTGTCTCTGTATCAGTTAGCTTTTGCTGCATAATAAATTACTTTAAAACTTAGTGGCTTAAAACAATGACCATTTTGTTTAGCTCAAAATTATGAGAGTCAGCTGGGCAATTCTGGGGTAGCTCAGCTGATCTCTCTGGGCTCTTTCATGTGTCTGATCAGCTGGCGGATCAGCTGGCAGCTGATCTAGAGTGGCCTCACTCACATGTCTGGCAGTGGGCAAGGCTGTTGTCTAAGAACCCTCTTTTTTACATGTAGTCTTTTATCCTCCAGCAGACTGTCTCACTCTCATTCCAAGTGCAGCAGGAGAGGGCAAACACCAATACACAAGTGTTTTCCAAGTCTCTGCTTGGATCCCATTTGCTGCTGTTCAAGCTTATATTTAAGGATGGAGAAACAGACTAAGCCTGTAATGGAAGAGGCCATAAAGTTGCATCACAAAGGGGCAAGAAGAATATCTGGATATTTTTGTAGTATATCATATTTTCTTTCTCCAGTTTATCCTAAAACTTATTAATTTAATCTTTTTACAACTCAGCTCTGATGAGTGTATCCCTCTGCTTAAAAAGTGTCAGTAGCACCCTCTGAATGAAATATAGGAACAATAGTGTGATCTGCTTCAACCCATCTTTCTAGCTTTATTTTTCTCTGCTCCCCCTTCTCTACTCAAATTGAACTAGTTTCTGAACTGGTGCACCTAGCCTTTAAGACCCAAGTCAAATGCCACAACTTAATAAATCCCTCCTAGATTTTCTTCTCATTCCTCTCTACCCCTTAAGTTGAAATGGTTTCCCCTTCCTCAGGTTTCTTGTAGTCCTTTGCACCTTCCTTGTAGTTGTGGTTTTTTACCTTGTAATTGTATTTGTATTACTCACCTCCTCTACCAGACTGAGAGCTCTTTAAGAACTGGAACCTGAGGCTGTTCATCTTCATAGCTACCCATACTTAATATTTGGAACCCCGTCTTGCACATAGTCACCAAAATATTTGAATAAATTTTTGAATAATGCGTATTTCCCACAATTATCATCATGCTAATTGTTTGAATGTCAGCTAATTTTTAAAATTTTCTTTCAGACCAGAAACTAGAGAGCAGTATCCAAATAAATTTATCCAACGAGATGACACTGAAAGATTTTACATTCTGAACACCCTATTCAACCTACCAGGTAGACTCGTTCTATACTGATGTTTTCCCTTCTTTCCATGACCATTTGTCTGCTCAAGGGAGATAATGAAATAAGTTTGAATTATTTCACTTATAGCTTATGAATATCTGTTCTTCATTTTTCAGAGACCTACCTGTTGGCCTGCCTAGTAGATTTTTTTACTAATTGTCCCAGATATACCAGGTGTGTATATACTATAATTTTCTTCTTCCAATTGATTTTTTAAATTAATGCACAGGGTTTTAGAGAACTGGCCATTGTAGGTCTTTTCTGCTTTTCTAAAGTGAATTTAGTGCTAGTGAGAGATGCAACATTGCCAGCCTGAGAGATGGGACAGCACCAGCAGCTCCATGCAGGCTCTCACCTCCCACACGGCCCCTCTCCTTGCCAGTGTGCTGCAGCCATGTTTGGAAGGGACCACTTCTGATTGGCTTCTCCTGGGAATGAAGACGGCCAGCAGAGGTGCTAATTGTGACAACTGAGTGGGAGGTTTGTGTGATGATTATCTGTCCAAGCAGAATTACACTAAAACCCCCCAACTCATTTCACAGAAGCTACCCAGGAGCCATTCAGGGATGGTAATTTAGTTTCATTCCCAGGCCCAGCAAGATTTGATTGAGGAATAAATACTGTTTATCTTCCCTAAAGTAAAATTTTGCTTAAGTCTTGAACAAGTTATACTCTCCTTTTAGGGAGAATTGTATAGCCAGTACTGAAAGTTTAGCCATGTATGCCAGTGTTTGCTAACTTATCCTCTTTAGGCCTTATCTACTTCAAGACACTATTATTGGTGGAAAACTGAGTCAGTAAGCTAAATAGACAATGGACAATACCTTTGTACTTAGGGACAATGTCAGAAAAATCAAGGTGGAAAGAATCTAAATGACCAATTTTAAGTTTTAAATATTTCTTCAGTGAGAATCTGTTTCTAAAAAGTGATGAATAAAAAACCCTGATATTTCTGGAACTTTGGCCTCTTAATTTCCATTCAATATACAAGTATTCTTCTATCACTTTGTATTTGTTTACAATTATTGTATTCCATTGAACACTATAGCCATTGCTGGTGGTCAAAAATGGATTTTCACTAGGGAGTATTTTCCTAATTAGCCACAACTTTTACCCATGTGTTATGGAATCTTTGGGCCCCCTGGGCGATTTTTTATATTCATTTTATTTATCCCCTTTTGGGTTCTCTGTCATGTTCTTTTCATCTTTCTGTAGCTGTGAAACAGGATTTAAAGATGGGGACCTCTTCATGTCCTACCGGAGCATGTTCCAGGATGTAAGAGATGCTGTTGACTGGGTTCATTACAAGGTACCTAGAAGCTTTTTCTTCACCTGCTCACTCTCCGGCATGTGTTTTATGGTCTGATAATAACTTTTCAGGTGCAAATGGAGCAGAATTTTTCCTCTGTTTGGAAAAAAAAAAAAAAAAAGGATTTGCACCCTAGTGATAGCTCTCTAGAATACATTTGCTGTTCTCTTTGGCTGTCCTACTCTGAGGTAATGTTGATCTTTCCTCAGTGGTGGTGCTCAGTTTCTATATTTTATTTCAGTTCCCATTTCCCAAACTTACACAGAAGAGATTTTAGTGTACTAAATTTTACTTAACATATCCTTTGTGGATAACAATGGTCCATTTTTTTGGCCAAATACCTTCCATTTGACTAACAACTAGTTAATATTAAATTTACATTTACTATAAACTACTAAATAAAATATGAAATGCCTTTTAATTTCTGACTTAAAATAGAAACGGTTTTATATTTTGAAGACAAATTTTGGAGGCAGAGTTGCATCAAATCTTACCTGCCACTTGTTCCTGGTCTTCTCTAGTTTATGTACTTTTCCATTTTGGTAAATACTTAAAATGGCTGGCCAGTTAGCTTAGTTAGCTAGAGCATGGTGTTATAGCACCAGTATCAAGGGCTCAAATCACTGTACTAGCCATCCCCCACCCCCACCCCCACCCCCAAAAACAAAGAAATGTATTCAGGTTGATAGTAAACACAATTTTTCTTATAAACTAAATGGTTACAAGCTGATTTTGTTCTTTTCTTAGATCCTTTTTTTTCCTTCTCCTAGGGCTCCCTTAAGGAAAAGACAGTTGAAAATCTTGAAAAGTATGTAGTCAAAGACGTAAGTAATAAAGGGGAAAAAAGATTTGCATAATAGCTTATTTTACCTATTAGGGAAATGAATATTTATAATGAAATAGACAAGGTAAGATACTTCTTTGTCTTGGCATAGTATATGCCAAGTGTAATTACCAAGTCTTCAGCCAGAGCAAAGGTCTGAGTAGTTTTTTCTGTTTGTTGATAGGTAGGAAGACCCCATATTTCATTTGTTCTTTTAGCTCTAATTATAATAGCAGCTAGAGGGTTACTGTGTGCACATTACTGTGCTGAGTGATTACATGCATTATCTTCCTTATAACCCTGAATTAGGTATTATTGTTACCTCTGGTTTTTTTTTTTTTTTTCCTTTTTTGTCTTTTTTTACTGACCGGCAATGGGATCGCAACCCTCGGTGCCGCGCCCACACCGCACTCAGCCTGTGAGCAACGGGATCGCAACCCTCGGTGCCGCGCCCACACCACGCTCAGCCTGTGAGCGGGAACCGGTCTCCACATGGGATCCGAACCCTCGACGGGAGCGCCGCCGTGCTCCCAAGCGGCGCACTCTCCAGTGCGCCACCGGGCCAGCCCAATATAGAATGAAAAAACTGAGGAATAGAGGGATTAAATAACTTGCCAAGGGTCACACAGTTACTAAGTAGTAAAGTCAAGACTCATAGCCAGATCTAACCCAAATCATAACAACTGCACTAGATCATCTCAAAAACGTGTGTATATGTAACTATTATTTAAAATACCTTTAACCTATCAACAGGGAATAATGAGAAAAGCTTTAAAATACCTTAAATCAGTAGAAATCCTGAATAAAATTTTTAAAAATTTGTAGTTTAGTCATTAGTATTGTACCCATATTAATTTCTTAGTTTTGATAATTGTACTGTGGTTATATAAGATGTTAAGGGAAGCTGGATGGAGAATATATAAGAACTCTCTGTACTATTTTCACAACTTTACTATAAGTCTAAAATTGTTTCAAAATAAAAAGTAAACATATACAGAGCCCCAAGATGAGAAACTTTTTTTCCCACACAGAGTAAAAATAGCAGAATATAGTTTTTTCTCAAAGTATTGTGGTGAAGATTTCTTGTTTTCAGTCTTTGTGCTTCTTATTTCCACCCGCACCCCCTTATTATTTCAAGAACACTGAATAGGAAGGGTCCAGGAGAATTTGAGTGAAGGAATTTGTTTACTGTGAGAGAAGGAAGAAGTGTTTTTCTTTCCAGGCACATCAGGAGTTAGAATTTCCTCATTTATCTGCAGATGGATGTGGGCATTTATAGATTGCATCTGTCTGTACATGTCATTTCATTCTGCAAGGTTTTTTATAAAACCACGGTAAACACAATGAAGCCATATCTAATACTCTTCATAGAAAGTATTTGGTGGTGATGTTTAAAATCATCTTCTCCTGATCTCTAATACACCTAGCTCACATTACTTCGAGAAAATCACAGGACAATTTAAATTCTTTACTAGGTAGACATCATGAGGAAGGTAGAGATATGTTAAGGACCATATAAACATATGTGTGTCACTCTACATATAAATCTATATATTATATACACTGTATACTACCTGTGTTAATACTTTATTCATGCGTAGTTGTGGGCCCTTAAATTCAAGATTCTGAAACCAACCAATTTACCCTGAAAAGGCATTTTCCCTATTCCTATTTCAGTGGGCAAAAATCCAGTATATATTTACCCCAAAGTGTAAAGTATAAAAATATTTGTTTTCATGTTTACTTATTATCATATAACTTTCAGGGAAAACTGCCTCTGCTTCTGAGCCGAATGAAGGAAGTAGGGAAGGTATTTCTTGCCACCAACAGTGACTATAAATATACAGATGTAAGTGCTTAATATTCATATTTATTTATTTATACAGAGGAATTATTTTGGACTAAAGAACTATGAAGATAATGAGGAGGATAGATGTTTATTAAGTGAGGGTAGTTTCTTGTTATCTCATTTTGAAAGCAGATGAAAGAAGCAAAAATATATAGGATAAGGGCTATACTAGAGTGGTTCTCAAATTTTTCAAAATATTTTAACTATTTTACCTGATTACAATTGGCTACTTGAAGGTTTTAATATTGGAGTTATGTAAAACATTTGTGCTAATTAAAGTGGCTTCTATATCTCTTTGGAGGTTCATTTATATAAACTTGAAGTCACACCCTTTATTTATCTGTATACATGACTTCCCTGCTGTTGAAAGTCCTGCAGCAGTAGGTGGTGCAAAGATGTTTTGAATCTCAGCCATCACTACCTCTTAACTTTAAAACAATCTTTCCCATAATTAAAGCATGTAGAAAAACTGATTTAACTCCCTAACTTCATCTTAACTTTTGCTGAGACAAGTTACAAGTTTATAGTGCCAGCAGGAAGTTCCGCCACTACCCCCCCTTCTCTTTATGTAAAAACTTAAACATAAGGTGATTTGGAGTAAGGAGTCTTTACAAAGTCAGTGGTTTGTTGGCCTGGTTGGTCTAGGGACAGTTGTAAAAAGGCCAAGGTATTGTAATGTATTATTTCCACGTGAGTCATTTAGTTTTCGCTATACCCTTACCTTACATGACCTTTACCTCCAAATGCGTGTTCCAGTCCACTAGGAGAATTGGATAGCGATATATGGATGAACTTGTACAAAAACATTCCTAGAAGAAGTGTATATCCTCCCTGAGAATGTCAGAAGTTTTTGTTGTTGTTGTTGTTACGGGTTTTTTTTTTTTTTTTTTTTTTGTGATGAAGCATTAATTTCTGGCTTTCACTGCCATGATTTCATGAATTTAGGAGAAACAAGAATGTGGTGAATCCTATATTGAAAAAGCATATTTTATGAAAAAAAGCTTGTGTTTTTTATTTTAGGTGTTATATATCTTTTGCAAAAATAGTATATGGACCTTATGTTTTATTTTTTTTTCCCTAGAAAATTATGACTTACCTGTTTGATTTCCCACATGGCCCTAAGGTAATATATGTAACTTAGTAGACCATTGTTTTAGTAATAATGAATGCATTTAATCATGCTGGAATATTGAGGGGAAGGAATTAGTCGGGACCCACCCAGAAAAGTCCTACTTTTTAATCCTGTTGTCTAATCTTCATTAATATTAGAAGTAATCCAGGAGCTAGTATAATTAGCAATGTGAATACTTAGTAGACAGAGATAAAAGGGATATTCATGTGGTATTTAGTAAGATGCTATCAGAATAATTTTATGCACAAGAAGGTCTATGCAGAATTGTAAAGTTTGTGTGTCAATGAAAGGAATTTTCAGGTTGAGGAAGATATTTGATTAACAGAAACAGAAAATGTGTGTATATTCTTGACAACTTCTGGATTCTAATAGTTATTGCTGAATTTTGTGTCAAGAGAGCAGTTAACTTTAATATTTAACAGAGAAGTCTTCGTTCCTGCAGTATGGCTGCACTTAGGTTTAAGGAATACTCATTGCAACTCAGTCACATACTTGTAGATTTTAATCCTAGACTTCTGAGAATAAACATCAGAAAATCCCTATTTTGAGATCAATTAAAATTACAGTGTGTAGTGCCCTTCAGCTTGGTCTTAAAAAGTTAATTCCATGGTTCCGTTTCAGGATGGAAATAAATTTAAACAGGCATAAATTCTACATTAGTGTTGTGATTAGCTTGCAATATGAGCCGAAGGCCAATTTGTATACCTAGATCCATCATTCTGAGAACATGACCAGTAAAATTTCCTAATAATAATTCCATGTTAGTTTATGTAGTTCAGTTTTGATGCTGCTCTACCTCTCTTAATCTGTCCCTTAGATATTGATTTGCATTGCTCCCTAGCCCCTTTGAGCCCCTTTTAGCACATTTCAGAGTGTGAGCACACTTTTATATGTTAACGTGCTGTGAAATAAGTTATGGTAATTCAATAATGAAATGATTCAAAATGTAGAGATAATTAGAGTCATTTATTTGTTATTTATATCTTGCCTGCTTCCAAAAAGATGTGGCTTATAATTAAATACAATACATTTTTTAAAAAAATAGTGGGATCTTCTGGCTATACGTAGTATTTCTGTATTCTTTGCATCTGAGTGAGATTAAATAGTAGTTCCTTAAGATAAGGAGTGATGTTTCAGCTTTTGCTGTTTCTCCTTCACCAGCCTGGGAGCTCCCATCGACCATGGCAGTCCTACTTTGACCTGATCTTGGTGGATGCACGAAAACCACTCTTTTTTGGAGAAGGCACAGTACTGCGCCAAGTGGATACTGTAAGTCAGGAAGATGATCTTTCTGCTAGCACATTGTCCTTCATGTTTCCCCTTTCTCCATTCATAGTCTCCCTAAGGAAACAGGTATTTTTAACTTATTAATCATATCTCCATTTTGAAATTAAGAGCTTAAGTCTTAACTGAAGTAATCAAACAAACTACTAACTCAAAAGAACAAGTGCCATTCATTTGGCTCCCTGGCCAAGTAGCATTGTGGGTGGAGATTGTGATAGGATGATAAAATATTACAAAGTCCTTATTCTCTTCACACAGAAAACTGGCAAGCTGAAAATTGGTACCTACACAGGCCCCCTACAGCATGGCATCGTCTACTCAGGAGGTGAGTCACGAACTTCCCTTTCCTTAGTGTATGTAAGTCTTGGCTCAGACCTCACTGGGAAAGCTTTGTTGTTCTCCTGGCATAGTGCCACAAGTACTCTTTAGTATTCCAAGGATGTCGTCTGCTGAAGATAATAGTCGCCTACCAATGTAATAGGAGTCAGGGAGAATGGGTTTGAAAAGTTGTTAGTATGTCCTAATGAGTCTGATTTTCACTATAAGGATGAGTTTCCCCCCTCCTTCTTTTACCTATTTGAGGCTTTTTCTTCATGTTCGGGAATCATTTGGGGTGCTTCTCAAGGTATCCTCAAGGGGGTTTTCAAGGAGCCCCTGAGGGCACAGATACATATTATGTTGGAGTTAGAAACAGTTGAACAAAGCCAACTTACGTAGATCTGTAATGAAAATGGTGATCCTTTTGAAGCTTATGATCACTAAAGCTGATGTAGTTTTGTTGCTCCTGGATTTGGTGATCAAGAGCTCTGGTCAGCACAGTGGAGCTGAAGCCTTTGTCTTAGAGGCAATAAAAAGAGTGAAAAAAAGAAAATAGTGAGTCTTTGTCTTTAAGAAAGGTGAGCCCTTTTTCTAGTCTGTGCCTCACATAATTGTAAGAATAAGATCAATGGTTTAGTTCTTGGAACGCTGGTTTTAACATTGAGACATTTTTGTTTTCTCATTGTTTCAGGTTCATCTGATACCATCTGTGATCTGTTGGGAGCCAAGGGCAAAGACATTTTGTATATTGGAGATCACATTTTTGGGGACATTTTAAAATCAAAGAAAAGGCAAGGGTGGCGAACTTTCTTGGTGATTCCTGAACTTGCACAGGAGCTGCATGTCTGGACTGACAAGAGCTGTAAGGAACCATTTACTCATATTTTATAAATCTTTGACAGAGCTAGTTTGTATCTAAATGGCCATCTTTGAGCCAGTTTTCTGTGATAAGCCATTACTTTTGATGAAGGTGGTAAGAGGTGGTCAAAAGAGGTGGGTCCTGATATTTGGATACGTTTGTCCTGTAGAATATTCAGATATTTCACAGAACTTTAGAATGAGTAAATATGAGAGGTTGTCTTGTTCAGCCTTCTTCTTGAATCCTTCAAGGTTAAACATAGAATGTTGGTGTCCTGAGTTGTATGACAGTAACAACTAAAATGTGAACTGGAGCTCCACTTGCCTCTGTAGTCCCCTATTTCTCCAACTAGGCCTGGTAGTCCCAGTCTTTTTGCCAGCAGCCCATATCTGTGATTCTGGGGCAGTGATGGCTCTGAATGTTAATCACCTCCTAGTATTTTTTTATTTACTCTTCTGAGAAGTAGAGAATGAGGCCAAATTATATTCACAAACTGAGCAACACTGTGTATGTGCAGTTATCCACATTATATTGAATCGAGTTATGGGTATAGTTATATAAAGATGTTTGACACAGAAGTTTTCCAACCAGTTCTGGTGAGCATCACCACAGTGTGGTGAAAATTACTGACTCTGGAAACTCAGGCTGCCTAGGGTAGGAACCTGGGCTCTATCACTTAAAATCTGTATGCTCATAGGTAAGTTACTAAGATACTCTGTGCCTTGGTTTCTTCAAATGTAAAAATTGGGATGATGATGATAATAGTACCTAATTTATAAAGCTGTTGAGACTTAACTGAAATAATCTGTGTGTAAAGAATATAGAATTGACAACTCTTCTCAACCAGGGCTCCTCACCTGAACTACAGAACACAAAATTATTTGAGTGATTCTTTTCTCAGTTCTGCTAAAGATGGTAGATGTTTGAAAATTTGTTATATACAGTGGATGCCTTAGGGCGTAATTCTCTTGGACATCCCAGGTTGAGAAAGGCCACAACGCATATGGAGCATGCAGTAGATACTGGCTGTTGCTTTTACTATTGTCTATACTTTAAGTGGGACTTTCTGGCTAGCCTTTTATCCACATTTTCAACTTTCCACCTATGAAGTTTTAGAAATCTAGTTGATTTGGCCCTACTATTTCCTGGACCTGTGACTCTGGACAAATCACCTAATTCTCAATCTTTCACCTGAAATGGGACGGTTAATACTTGCTTTGCTGACTGTACCTGAGGCAGAGTCTAAATTGGCACTTTGCAAGCTCAGAATGAGCAAGCATAGAGCTGGAAGAGAAAGTTGTAGTCAGTGGTGTAGGAAGAAAGACAGTTAAAGAGGAAATTATGGCGTTCATCTGCTACCAGACTCTAGCAGGGTATCAGGGTTTTCCTGAAGGAGAAGGAGGTCATTTTATACACTCGCCGTAGCATGTTAGTCCTAGGCTATACATTTTGGTCATATCTGTAACCTTTTAGTTTTAGTTTTAGTTTAGTTTTAATTAGCAGCAGTTAAAAACTGGGTGTTTTATTTGATCTATTTAAAACATTTTCCTTTTCCTTCCAAACCTTCACTAGCACTTTTTGAAGAACTTCAGAGCTTGGATATTTTCTTGGCTGAACTCTACAAGTAAGTTTCCTAATTCTAAAAATTTCTTTCCTAAAAACCATCTACCTCTTTGGGAATCATCTAGATGTAAGAATTGTTCTTTCTAGAGATTTTCACTAGAAAGAACTGGGTTTTTCTTTTCATTTCCAGGCACCTTGACAGCAGTAGCAATGAGCGCCCAGACATAAGTTCCATCCAGAGACGTATTAAGGTATCCAAGTGGGATTTGGGAGAAAAGCCTTGGAAAAATAATTGAGTTTGTCAGTCTCATAGTTATGATTTCATACAGGGACTAAAAGCAGATGCTCGATAAATATTTGTTTAATGAATGCTGTGATGTGAGACGTTCTGAGCTTTATTCTAACAAGCTTATTGACTTGAAGTTCCAGGCAAATCTCCTTATATGGTAATCTCAGGTTATAATAGGATCCTGGAGAGTAATGTTTTAGAAGGTCTAGAAAATTTAGTGGTTTCAAGTTATTGGTTTCTACAAAAAATTTCCTTACAAAAGAGAATCCTCAGGTTGGGGCTGTTCAGGGGAAAGGTGTCACCACGTACAACAAATTGTATAACTTGTTATAACAACAAATTGTAACTCGTTATAACAACAAATTGTAAGCATGTTGATTTTTTATAAATTTAAGTGTGCTTGGGAATTCCTTAAATTTTGTGCAATAAACTATAGTGCAATAAACTATTTTTTGGTAAAGATAAAATGTATTTGTTGAATGAGCTGAGAAGCTGTCTTGTTCTTTGTTTTAGAAAGTAACTCATGACATGGACATGTGCTATGGGATGATGGGAAGCCTGTTTCGCAGCGGCTCTCGGCAGACACTTTTTGCCAGTCAAGTGATGCGTTATGCTGATCTCTATGCAGCATCTTTCATTAATTTGCTGTATTACCCGTTCAGCTACCTCTTCAGAGCTGCCCATGTCTTGGTGAGTTAAGGCCTTAAGCTTCTATTAATAGTTAAGATGCACTCTGAGGCCAAGATCTGCAACCAGCTTTGTGGGATGACAAAGGAGACAGTTTGGACATTTCTTTCTGATTTGCAGAAGCCTATGAGTAGGGTATGTGGTTGCATAAGAAGGGATCTTTGAGAATATGATTAAGATTGAAGGTTACAGAGTATAACTTTACTCTCTAAAGTCTACTCTATTAAAAGTTGTGTTTGAATGATGAAGACTTTCTTCTTTTGTTAGTACTAATTGAATGAAATGTGGTTTTTATATTCATATGTTCTGATACTGATCTGTTTCAGGACTGTTTTGCTGTAAAATAGAATATAAGAATCTCTCCTCTCCATCTCTTATCCATTTCAGGCTGGAGTAAAAGATCCGGGCACCATTGTGGGGGTGGTGGGCAGAAGGAGCTGTGGCAGGGATAGGTGAATAGGCAGCTTTGGGTAGTTCTATGAAGATCTATCTAAATTGACTTGTCCTCTGGTCCATATAGACAAACACTTAGGAGAAGAAAGGGGTTAGAATTTGGGAAGCAGCCATTTTGCTCTGCCTGCTTTCTGAGCTTCTGGCTTTGTTCTAGATGCCTCATGAATCAACAGTGGAGCACACACACGTAGATATCAATGAGATGGAGTCCCCTCTTGCCACCCGGAACCGCACGTCAGTGGATTTCAAAGACACTGACTACAAGAGGCACCAGTTGACACGGTCGATTAGTGAGATTAAACCTCCCAACCTCTTCCCACTGGCTCCTCAGGAAATTACACACTGCCATGATGAAGATGATGATGAAGAGGAGGAGGAAGAATGAGGAAAACCAAAACCCTGAGCACCCATTAAGTTCTGGCAAGACTCACAGGAACAAAGGATGTCCCTATTTGGGTTCCAGTGGGGAGGGGGGCAGGGTTCCATCAAAGGTATGTCTGGAAAGTTTCTGAAGACTTTAAAATATTCTAATCATAGAGAGATACTTGTTTTAGTTTCGTGTATCTGTACTCTTTGCAGATAGTTCAGAATTATAATGGAGTGGAAGAAAATAAGGGTAAAGTCAGGCTGAAGTGCATGCAGATGGTTCCATTGTGGCTTGTGACAGTTTCCTTCTCTTTTTTTCATCAGTATGTCATAGTGTATCTGGATACACTAAGAATGGTGAAGGGTCTCAGAGTAGAACGAGGCGGATGGGAAGAGGTGATCCAAAATGCTGTAATGTTACAAATTGTGCTATTCCAAAATCCAACTTTTTCAGTGCGTTACATAGTATTGTATATCAGTGGAGAAATATATTGTTTCCATTATCAACTGTAGTCTTCTGTTACAGTCAAGTTTCCTTTTATAAGCCTTTAAATATCCTCTTCTTGCTTTAGGGCTGGTCTGGAATGGACTTCAGGGATTCTATTTTGAGGCAAAGTTCCTCATCCTTTCTACATTGTTTTGGTTGATAGCACAAATGTTTGTTATCAAAAATATCTTTTTCTTATCTGTGATAAATCTATAGAAAGAATTTAGCTGAAAGATTGCAAAGGAGCAAGTCCCCAGAAAACAAGGAACCACCTTCTTATTTTACAGTAAAACTGAGTAAAATTCATTAGAGCAAGTTGTGGTTTATGCTACCCAGTTACAGATTTCTATGTCTTCCAGGGTTGATTGCTGTATTTTATTTTGAGCATTAGAGGATGGGAAGAGGGCTCTGTAAGCCAGAACTTTTACTAAAACAGAGGGCACAATTAGCGTGAATAAATTCACTTCAGAATCCCAAATGAAATCACTTCTTGTTTTGAACAAGAAGGAATCATTACTGTATACATTAGGGTATTATAACTGCCTCACCAGTACAGTGAAAGTTGTCCCAGCATTTTAAACCATGGCATAGACTCTTTCTTTAACCTTCATATACTTTCTTCAATTCTTATTGTCATTGGTCAACAGGGGAGGGTAGATTAGCTGCTCTAGAATTCAATAAAATGTAAAATTTCTAATACTGACTTTGACCCCTTCTGTAGCACAACTATAACAGCTGTTGGTCTTCAGGTGAGTTTAGATTTGGCTTAGTGACCTCAGTTTGACATTGTCATCTCTTAAAGGAAATATACATTTTCAAAAAATGCTAAACATTCCCAGATCTCTTTTGGTTAAAAAGAAATATTCAAGAATTGATATAGTCTAATATGATATTTATAGTACTTCATTGGCCTCAAAATTTTTTTGCAGAAAGTTTTTTGGTTCAGGACTGTGAGATGAGGCTTTTTAAAAGTCATTTTATAAGGGCCGTCCTGTGGCTCACTTGGGAGAGTGTGGTGCTGACAACACCAAGTCAAGGGTTAAGATCCCCTAAGATCCCCTTACCGGTCATCTTTAAAAAAAAAAAAAAAATCATTTTATAGATAGGGAACACAGTTCAGTAACTTAACCAAGAATGTACTGTTTCACTTCTTTGGATACAGATGGCTTTAGATTAAGTGATGCCAAGAAATTAGATTTCAAGACTGGTATCTGTTGGGAATGTAGCTTCTTTTAAAATAGTCAGGTTAGATATGCTACTGCAAATAAGAATTTGATGCTGTCCTGTTTTAAAATTTTAGGGAATGTGTTTGTGGTCACCCCAATGACTATTTTCATTCAAGATGGAGATGTTGCCCAGTTTGACATAGTCTTAAATTTTCTCAAACCCAAATAACTAACTTGTAAGTGGCTTTTTACAACTACAGACCTATCTTATGATAGTACATTTATATATTTTCCCATTTAGAGCAAGGATCAACACGATCACTTTAATTTACAACATTTTTTGGTATTGCATCCATATGAGAGCTTCCTTATTAGCCTTATGATTCTCTAGCAGTCAGATGACTCTGGGTCTGAAGACAGAAGTGAAAAGCACACTATTGGAATAATTAAGAATTCTACTACTAATTGCAGCTTTCTCTTGGACCACCAGTATATATTATCAAAGAGCTAGAATTCCATAAGAAGTCTCAGACCCAAAGCAAAATGGTGGCTCTCTATGTTGTTCTCGTTAAAAGAGCATGCTGGGAAGCCAGTGTTCCATGGGCAGCACTCAGGGCAGCTGTAATTAGGCTTCTTAAGACATGAATTGCAAGTTTCCCTCTATTTCCAGTAGTTAAGGAAGCTTCATTTAAAGTGTGTGTGTGTGTGTGTGCGTGTGTGCGTGCGTGCGTGCGTGCGTGTGTGCGTGTGTGCGCTTTCCTAAGCCTGAGGAGTTTTAGAATGCGGGAAGACAGATTTGCTGTCTCTTTTGAGAATTTTTCTCTAGGCACTCTGAGAACACTACTTATTTACAGGCTTCATAGAACACCAGGCATCACCCTTGTGGGCACTAGACTGAACTTCCAACCTCAGAGCATGGACGGACTACCAGGGCTCTCAGCACACGCAGAGGCTGGTCATAGACACAGCAGCCCCAGGCCCTGCTGGGTTTTCTGTATGAGAGGAATTGCCCAATATGTTCATTGCTGCAAAGATGGTCAGTTAAAACTCTGATGGTATTTCAGAAAAGTTGCTTAAAGCCAATAAAGTTTAGTGTTCTGTTTTAGATCTAAGATTTTCTCCTACCGTAAGCACAGCTCTGCTGAGACCTAAAATAAAAGGCAAGCCCTTCAAGCTATCCTTTCTAAGATGCTTTTAGAAGTGGTTTTTAATAGAACTATGCTAACTGAGAACTACAAATCCTTAGGTCATGTTAGTATTGTTTTTAAGAGACCACTTATAAAAGCCACATGCAGTTACATGTCAGATTTAAAAGTACTTTGTCCATGTTTAGATATTTCTAAATCAGATTTATTTATTTAAGAAATATTTTGTCAACAACTTTAAAGTCCTCCAATTTTTCCAAGGCTGCCTGGGCACTTTTAAATACTCTGCTTATTCACCACAAATAGCCTGAGACAACTTCTTATTTAAGTCTGTATTAGGGTAGGAGCCTTGTCCACATTCCATATTGTGGAAACTATTTAATCTCTCTTTGATGGGAAAAATTGTAACTGTGATCCTGCTATTGCTGTTCAGTTAACGGCCCATTTCCTCACTTAGTTGAGTAGTTTAGGGCTCAATACTTTCTCATGATGTTCTTTCTTGGTGAATAGCGCATGCAACTCTTCTTAAAGTTTTTTCTCAGATAGAACAATTTCAAATGATACACAACTTTGGAAGGCCCTGAGAATGAAATCTCTATCCTGGAGCAACCTGAGTAATCTTGAAGATAAAAAAAGAATGTGCATTACTACTAAGGAGCAGGGATGACGTGCATATGCATGACAGCCAGAAAGCAGAACCAGGTGGCTGCCAGAAACTCACAGTGCTGCAATCGTACACCTCCACTCACAGTACAGCAACATTTAACACTGTTCTCTCACTACTGAGTATTTAGAAATGGCAGAAAGCAAGTCACCTAAAAAGAGCATGTTCATTTACAGAATGAACAAAACAGCTTTTCTGTTCTTTAATCTGGCAATCTAAACCATTTTTCCCTATCCTCAGACACAGTGTCTTCATCCCAAGGATACAATAAACTGACAAAGGTATCCAACAAAGGTATATAATTTCAAAAATAAAATATATATAGTAGTTTAGTTATTAAGTCCCTCCATAGAGCTTTAACACAAAAAAGTACTCCCAACTGAACACAAAACATTTCAAACTTGCTGACTGTTACTGCAAGTCTAAGCAATCTCTATTTTCCAACTTAAAATGAAATAACATTTAGAGTCTGGTCCCTTTGTTTCTTCATACAAAATAAGATACCTTTACTCCATTTAATTACTAGATTAAGTTGATTGGATAGATTGCTTCATGAGTTAAATTAGGTACAAATATGTCCCCAAATGCTGTGCTCTCCCTTTGAACTCTTCCCAAAGCCATGTTTGGCTTGATGAGGCTGTAGACGAGGCCTGAAGAGTGTGGGCTGAGATAAACCTTCCCACACAAACCGGAGCCTAAGGAGCTGAGTGTACTTTCTTCCCATGAAAGAGAGCAACTAGTCCTTCCAAGTCTCCTAAGTTCCTGTGATACCTGGAAAGGGGATTTGCCAAGCAAACCTTCCCAACACTGAAAAAATGTGTATTAAGTGTCCAGTCTTTTTTTTGGAGAGGGTTCTCACCAGAGGTAATCTTTGACTTGTGGGGATGGGTATTTTGAAGCAGGTAACTTCATCTTTGGACCCATTGCCCTCAAGTCAGTGGTGTAAAATCTTGGTAGGATAGCTGCCTCAATCTAAAAATTCCTGCCACACGTTGGCCTACTGCTCGAACACTTCACAGTCATTAATACCCCATCAGGAAAAGGGGGGTCAGGGATGGCACACCACCAGAAAGTCAGAGAAGAGGGCCCTATAACCTTCCCTTTGTGCTGGGATTTCTTCAAAGTAAAAGCACAGATGTGAGGCCCTTGAAGGGAAAATGATGAAACAAGCATATAAAGAAAGCAAAAGAGTTTATTAGCCATCTAATATAATTCAAATTTTTGGCTTTAATAAGGAATCATCTCTATTAATTACCTTCAAGAAGTATAAAATGTCTTCAGAAATGAACCAAAGGCTATAAAAAGATGAGTTTGTACCTGTGCTCCAAGACCCTCTGATCAGTGTTTGTCCTCAGAAGCACTGAGTTGAGAAGAGGCTCTGGGGAGCACAATTTATTATGTGCAGCAGGAACCCTAGAGCATATCACATTAAAGCTTAGAAAACTGACACGTGTGCTCTAGGAGGATGCAGACGGAAGGCTTAGGCACATCTCATCTTCACAGTAGGAAAAACTGTCTCCGTTTTCCTTAGAGGCATTTCCTGATTTGACCTCTGGACTTATCCTAAACTAAGTAAAGCGGGAAAAACCAACCAAAGCAGCAAGCTGGGAGTGAATATGCTGTAGTCTTTTCCTCTCTAGCCCTGCTGCTGCTTTCTGCCCACTTCTAAGGAAACATCCCAAGAAGAAAACACTTCACTGGGATATGGATACACCTCATTCTACTCTCGGGAAATTGGGTAATGACTGGGGTGGTGGGAGTGGTGGTTAGTGTCTCAAAGCCAATCTTGTCAGCAGTTCTTCACTAAAATGTCTCCACCCACAGGACAAGTGTAAATAAGTGTTTAGGTAAGAGACTGCAAACTTCATGGTTAAATAAATACAGTGGACACTATAAGGGACCAGTCAAGAGGCTCAATTCTCAGAGCATGATCTTCTTTGGAATGTAAAATAAAGACTAAGAGTGGAGGGAAAAAAGGATTCCAAAAAGATGTGGTCTAGGAATGGGTCACCAAGGGCCCCAAAGCTTGACTGCTGAACCTTCAAGGTCTGGTCACGTGTGAGGGAGGAGGAGAAGAAGGAATGGAAGACCTGCAGTGCTGATGGAAGAGGCTGTGGGTCACACACACACTGCGTTACTGGGGAATGGAGGATGCCCACTGAATCCTGAAGAGCATCTGAACATGCCTCGCCACACTTGTGCTGGGTGTGTTTAACTTGAGGGTGCCCCATCCATGCCTGCTCCAACCTGCCAGGGTTCACATAGCAGAGGACCTACCAAGCCATTCTCAGCTTCAAGAGCCAACTGAGAGGTCTGAATTAGGCCATTGATCTTGCTTAGGAAAAACCAGCCTAGCCATTTCCCTGGCTGAACTCTGTATTAGTAACTGAGCAGCCAATGTCCAGGGCAATTTGACTTGATAATCTGAGTGTCTTTATCTAGAGATGAACTGATGGGGGACAGACTACAATCCTTGGAGACATCCCCCTTAGAATTGGCTGTACCAGGCTGTAACTTGGAGGCACAGAAATAGCACCCACTTCTCTTTTAACACTAAGACTTTGAAATGTCTGTCCACAGGAGATGCCATGCTGTGTTAACCAAGCTGAGCTCCAATCCCAGATTTCCCACCAGTAAAGTCAGGCAATTGGGCAGGGGCCCAAGGCTGAACGAGATGGCATGGTTGGTGTTGCACAGATGAAAGGGGAACGAGGGAACACACATCTACTGGAAGGGTGAACAGTCATCATTTATCTAAATAGAATAAACAAGACCTTTTTAAACAATCACAAAATTTACAAATAAGTTGGTACAAAATAAATAGGAGAGATTGGAAATCTACATCATTTGAATTATAAAATGCATTCATTGACAATCAGCTCATGAAACCTATACATGTCATTTGTGCTTATTTAGGTTTATGTACACAGCTTCGAATACTGTGTTCAGAAAACTTGACTGCTCAAAATGCATTAAATGGACACTATGATACAGTGAGTAAAGGCTGAGGAGGATGAAAATCAGACACAAAGCAGGGTCTTATTTGAGAGCCAAGGCTATGTTGGCACTGGGCCTCAAAACCAAGAAAAGGCATATTAAGAGCCTAGATGGGCAGGCAGCTTCCATGACCCAGAGAGACAGATTCTGCAATCCAAGGTAAGAAGTAGAAGCCATCATTGTGGGGCCAGGCAACTGCCTTGGCTTGGGAGGATGGGAGTGAGGAAGGAGGCTGTGGTCCCACAGCCACACTATATCACTCTATAGTCCCCTATGAGACTGAGTCACTAAGAAATCACCTCTGAAGTATCTCATGGAGGTACTTGAGAAGCCCCGCCACAAGGTAGGAGACTTGCCTCCATCCTCATCCCAAACACTGGTCATCAGGAGTACAGGTGGCCCAGTAAAAGGGGCTGGGGATTCCAGGGCCAATATAAAAGCAGCAACCTGTTTAAAATCACACACACATCCACCCACCCACCACTGCCCTCTCGCCCAACTTAAGGGACAACAGAACCCGAGGCTCCATCTATGAGGGGCTTCGAAGCAGATTTCGCCTTAGTCACAGACGATGTACTAGAGACATATGTACATAATAAATAATATAAAATAAAGCATATACATTGGATTTAAAGGTCTCCAGAAACAAGAAGAGTCAATGGATCAATACACTCCACTTTCACAGAGTTCAGACATGGGGAGTAATGAGTCAGAAGCCGGGGCTCAGCACTTCCCTCTGCTCTTAGCCTGGGGCACCAGCTGCTTATAATAAAGGGGCTGAACCTCCAACAAAAAGGGGAGGCCCCCAAGTCCCACCAGGCGCATTTGATAGCTCTCTTCAGGGTGAATCTGAAGAGGAATCTGGCCCCAAAAGAACCACTGCCTTAGTCAATCCACATAGGTCAGATGTGGGAAAATGTCAGAAAGTGCCCTTCTGAGTGAGGCAAGACAATGCTCCCATTCTTCCAATTTGTTCCTGGTCCCAATGGGTACTAAAACCTGCAAACATCGTGTACTCAGATCTTTCTTACAGTACGTGTTGGATCTGTGTACACATAAATCTTGGCATACAAACACCTAACACTTCACTCTCCTGCCACTAGAACCTTTGTTTCCATGTTACTTCAAGTACAACCTGGTATTTCCCATCAAAAGATATTTATAATAATTCTAGTTGAGATGATGCCAGTGGCTCTAGCATACAGAGAGAAAGCGAACTGGAGCTGAGCTAACCACAGAGGTCTAGGAAGCAAAGGAGGTCTCCAGCCCAAGCTGGTGGGAGGAAAGCTGTTCCCCTCTGTGCAGTTGCTGTGAACTGTCATCTCGTCCTCCTGTGCTTTGGGCTGACCAGGGACTCTGGAATATAAATCTTCAGATAGGAAAGAAGGAAAACCAGCAACTAAGCACTGACTGCAGGAAGAAAGCTTGCAAGTGCTAGAGGAAGAAAGCCCACTTGTCACAGCCTTAAGGGACAGTAATACCAGCAAGGTTAGCCTTGGTACACCACTCACCCCTCAAATGGAGGCAAATAAACCTCAACTTAGAAGTCTCTGAACTCATCTCTCCTATCAGCCCACTTGAACATAAAAGAAGTATGCAAAGATTATAGATTAGCAAATGGCCCTGAGGTATAAAAATCCACTGAGTAGGATAAATTTGTATGAGGAAAGTTTCTGAACCTCCAAATCACTTTCATATTCAACTCTAAATCCCTACTAATTCTGGGTTAACCTGCAACTCACCCAGATACCCTTGCCCAGGACCCAAAATGGAAGCTAATCTGGCCCAGGACAAGAGCCTCTTTCCTCAACAAGTAAAGGAGCAGTGGCACCTCAGAAGCCTTCCATGCCCTCACCTGCCCACTGGGCCTCGTGTTTCTCCTCCACTCTTGGCAAGAAAAGCTCGTCTCTGGGATCAAAGCTGAGAGGGAAGTTGTTCCCACCACCCACCCCACAGGGCTTGGGTCATGCCCAGCAGCATGCAAAGCCAGCCCTCCCTGGTCTGCTCTTGCTTGGAGCCCCAGGGAACAAGGTAAGTACCTTCTTGTGCCAGCCCAGCTGAGTCATCTGCCTGAGGTCACCCTGTGGAACACTGGGGTAATCTCGGTCACCCAGGAGACCTCACCCTCCTGGGCCCAGGTGAGGCGAGGATGGCCACAGATCCCTGGCTGGCCTTCAGAAGATGTCAGAGCTGGTCTTGTGTTTTTACCAGCCAAGACACTAATCTGTTTTTACCAAGCTCCATCAGTCAGGGCCTACTTAGGTCTGCTCCTCAACCTGAAGAGAGAATGTGAGGGCAGAAGTTCATGGTCCCCGCTCAGCTCAAATTCCTGTTGCTCCATTTCCATTTCTCTTTGAATCTCCCATTATTTTCCTAGACTTGGAAAAGCTAGTCCTTTAGTTGTATGGTACCGGGAAGAGCACAGGTAAATATATTCACAGTTAATGTTCCATATCAGTGTGAAGTTCTGCATTCAACGCCTGCATGACAGTTCCTTAAAACAACACAGGAAGTGGTAAGATGGCCTCCTGTCTCCCACGTGGGCAAGCCAACTATGGCAACGTGGGCACTGAACTCAGTGCAGGGCGTGCAGCGAGGACGGCAGGGAAGGAGAGTAAGTGCGGTGCCCTTTCAGATGCAGGTTATGTAAGAGCCGAGGCATAAGCTGCTTGATTAGCACCCCAGCATCCACACACAAATCTTGGGACTCTGCTTTCCCAGGAGTTTAAATATATGCTTTTGGACTCGTCTGACGAATACAGAAGACAGCAACGAGGGAAGGAACATCTAAGTAGGAAAAAAGCCCCCTCATTTACAAAGAGAAGGCAGTGTCCTGGGATCACTTGGATTCTAGGAATCCAGTTCCAGCGGAGCCTTCTGGATGCCAGAGGTGTTGCACAGAAGCGGGTGAAGCCCTGTCCCATCCCACAGAGGCCACTGTAGACAGGGATGAGGCCCTGGGCCCAATAGCGAACCCAACAGTGTGCAGAACCCAGGGCCTGCATCTGCTCCACCCACCCTACTCTCTTCTGTGCTTGAAAAGACAGCACCCTGAGGAGAGGACAGTCCAGCCAGAGGTGCTGAGGAGCAGCCACCGCACATCCACATTTCAACCATTTGATGGTCTTTCTCTGACCCCTCCTGGCTTTGTAGATAGGAATGGCATAGGCCTTCCAAGCCAAGATGATGCTCCTGCTGCCCCAGAGAAGCCATGGGCCAGCATTTCCCCTTCAACTGTCTGAGAGGTCAGTTTCCAGAGGGAAAGTGGGGCCTGGAAAAGGAATCTAGTTGCCCAGACAGAAGGTGGTTTGAAGGGTCTTGAGTTCTCCCCAAAGCAGATATAACTACAGCCAGATGTTAGCCTTCATTCCTTCAGAGACCAAACAGGAATTATTTTGGATTCCCTGTTGTTATAAAATACTGTGAAAAACTGAAGGTAAAGAGTAATTAACAGAAAATAAATACAAACTTGGCAAGCTAAAAATATCATCCTTTGGGAGCCCCACTGCAGAGCCACCCCCACCAACTCCTTTGTAGAATGGTAGGAAGCCACCACGCTGAGCTAGAGACAGGAGTAAGAAGTTCTCCGTTTTGCCCTGAAGTCGAGGAGGCAGCGGCCGGCATCCTCTCTCCTCCCCGAACTCTCACAGTTCTTTAGGATTTATAAAGAACAGTGGGGCTCTGAAAACGATTCCAGAGGCTGCTTCCAGTAGCCAGGCATCCCTGAGACAGACTGCGTGTGGGGAAGCAGCAGTGGGCCAGGACAGGCTGATGGTGGCCCAGAGCTCCTGAAGGCTGAGAACCTGGGCTTGACAGGCCTGGCTCCCAGATCTCAGGGAAGGCAAGCACTGCCTGGACCCAAGGGTGGTGAGCTTGTTGGGGGAGAAACCCCTTTCCCAGCAAAGCCCATGTTTCACTTTGTTATGGAAAACTCATTTTTACACACTCAGCACGCTGGGGCTGTGCTCAGCTAGGTGCATCTGAAGACACTGACTTTTTAACTTGCATGGGTCTGTTTAAAAAAAGGGATATTTACAGTGTGGAGTCCCACTAAGGTCAAGTTACAGGGTGGGGGCTCCATCCCACAGGGGCAGGTTGGACACCAGCACCAGGCCCCTCAGCCCTCAGGGGCACTCACCACGACCCTCTACCAAGTGAGGCTAGTACCTCACTCACTGAGGGACATGGCACCTTTGAGGAAGACACCCAGAGGAAATACTGAGCTAAGCATGTATGGCACTGGAGCCACCAGATGCTCACCAGGAGGCCAATCCAGTGTGTAACTGAATATTCCCCACATGGAGCCTGACCTGGGTGAACGTGCTTCCTACCTGGAGGAGGGAAAGGGAAACTGCTGCTGAGCCCCCGTGCCTCCCTTCGTGCAGTCAACCCGAGCACAGAAATACTCTTTGCTAGTGGCTGGGTGCAGCAGGTACTGATAACCCTATGTGAACACTATGGTCAGTATGAATTCACTTCAGTGTCTGAAGATTGCCAACAAAATGCACACATCCCTTGGGTTAACAAAACACAGACAAGCTAGTTAAGAATTCAGTCTCTCAAGAAATACCTCCTGACATTAATTTCACTACACATGATGAATCTGGTATTAAAATAAGACAGAGACACACATGAAATGGTCATAACACACATTTGGTTTCTGAATCCCTGTTTGGGGCCAAACTGTCCCTGGCTGTACAGGCAGCCTCTCTGGTGTGGGCCGCATCTGAGGCGGGAGGCACAGAGGCCTGTGGGCAGGAGACACAGCCACCACTGGGCCCCATGGGCCCTAGGATGCAGGGGAAGAGGGACAGTTAGCTCTCTGGAAGGAGGGGCAGGGGCTGGCAATCCCCAAATTTCCCTCCTTTAAAAACATGGGTCTAGAAATGCCTCCTCGGCACACAGTAGAGAGCACAGCTGGAGGGTCCGACTCCTTTTCTGATAATTACATACGTCCCAGCGGGAGGGGAGGACCTGGAGCTCCACGTCATATGGTAACTGAAAAGCCCTGTGGAAGATTTCCATTTGGCATCTCTGTGTAGCAGCATCTTGGGTTAACAAGAGCAAGGGCCAGGGAGGTGGGTGACGGCGCTCCATAAGCTTGGGTGCTGGGTCGGGGGAGGAGGGCTGGCTGAGCCGGAGACCCCAGGCTGGAGGAATGTCAGGACGAAGTCAACTTGCCTCTTGCCAATGATAAATCACGAGTTTAAAATTCATTAACATTCATTTTGGTGATAGAAATTCCTTAGGGTGGGAGCAAAATCACATTTCCAAGCAAATGTTAAACCTTCCTGAGGGAAAGGGGCACAGTTAAACATTAAATTCTCAAAACAACAATGAGCTCAGGCAACTGCAGGTCCCTCTGCAGGCCACACCCCACAGTGACGACAGACTTGGCAGGTTCTGCAGCAACATCATTTTCTTCATTCATCCATCAAGTTCAACAGTGATACTCACTGGGGCACGGAGGAAGGGTGCCCTCCCTGGGAGGGCCAAGGAAGACCACGTGAGGGGCAGGTCCATCCTACGAGGGTCATATCATGGGATCACAGCAGAGTTCAGATAGAACAACTTAAAACTCTGCAAAAGACACTTTTTAAAAACATGATCTCTTGAAAAAATAAATCGCAACAATTTTCAACTTCATGCAATCGAGGGAGGAAGAAAGTGAATAATGATAAAAGCTACAGCTGAAAAAACAAACATGATTCCATCTGGGCAGAAGAAGTTCATCTTCAAAATCTTGAATGTCACGCCCCAGCTGTTGCTCTCACGCCATCTCTTACTTCCATTCTTCTCACCACCATCCTCCTCTGCAGCCTCCAGGCAGGGGACAAAGTCTTTGGTCTCAGAACGTCACAGGACGCAGCACGGCACACGAGCTCACTACGGGAGTGGGGGCCACGGGCACCCTAGATGGCGCCTTCGCTGTGCAGGCTGTGGTTGGCCTTACTGTGCGTCACACAGTTCTGTTCAGTGAGCAGGTTGGCCGTCTCGTCTGGCAACCCGTCATGCAGCTCCGTAAGAGTCAATTCAATTTTAGTGTTTTCACTGTCTGAAGACTGAGGGGTTTTGTCCATCCGGGATGCCATCAAGGCATTTTGGTATTGCTGTCTTGAGATCTGAGGCCAGAAGATGGCACAGAAAACAAACCAAGATAATACTTATATTTAGGTTCTCTTGTCTCTACATCATAGTACACATTAAATCCCCCAAAAGGCCAAGGAGTAGTTTTTCTAGGAGAAAATCATCTTTGAGTACAAACTGAGCCACTTTTTAAAGTTCGAGTTGCTTCTGGCAAACAAGTCAGTTCTTACTGATGTAACCCATTTCCAAATTTTGTTTTAAGATTTCACAGAGACTAGAAAATGGAGATTGGCTTCCACCAGCTAAAACTGGCTTGTTCTCCAAAAGACATCTTTATTTCGGACTAAGAAAAGAGCCCCATCTCAAGGGCGGAGCTGTCCTCAGCACCTCTTCTGAGCCACCCAAGCTCAGCCCTTCCAGGGCAGATGAGGGAGTCACTAGAGCTCTGAGCATACTAAAGCTCTCTTGGAAAGGTTTACCCTTTTCTCCCAATGTCCAGCTTCCCCTCCCTGAAACAGCCACGTGATTTGGCGGCTCATTTGACAGAGCCAACAAGATCAATGATTTTCCCAGCCAGTCTTGAGCACAGCAGAAGGAGGCAGGGTTTGTGGCCAAGAACTGAAGGCAAGGGACCCCACCCCCCACAGCCAAATGACAAAAGGAGTGCTCAGCAGAGGGGGTGGAGGAGCCGAATGACTTGCTGTGGAAGTTGACTTCTGACTGCCGGTCTGGCCAAGCCACACTGTCTTCTCTTACCTTAACAAACTGAAGGTCAGAAAGTGCTCGCACTGAGTAGTCAGGGATGTAGACTTGAAGGAACGAAGAACTGAGCTGGTTGTTGCTGCTCCCCAGCGTGGGTGTTACCGCGTCAATCCGGTCACTTCGACTGAGAGAGTCTGAGTGATTTAAGCCACACGGGCGAGGAGGTGACTTATTTTCACCTGGAAAAGGAAAAGGAGGAAAAAAACAGCCTTTTAAGGAAGTAGATATGGCCAATAAAGTCAGCTCTTTATTTTCCAAAAGAAAAATAATAAATACTACACAAGCCCAATCAGCTTATACCAGATGCCTCAGCCACACAGCTGGCGGTGCACACAGCTCCCACACCCGGCAAACGCACTGGCTTCCCTTCAGTGACAGGCTACATTTATTTCTGCTGCTCAGCCCTGGTTATGTGGCAGATACAATCCCTCCAAGCCTCTAATAGCAGGACCCTGTGGCTGTGTACCTCTGTGAGGATCATTACTGAGTGCTATGAAATGCACAGACTAGGATGGGACAAACCCCAAGATACAGAAGCTGCTTGAAACCAAACATGGGCTATGAGAAGGCAGCACTTCATTATCTGGCCAGAAGCAAAACCAAAGGACTCTTGAGAATATTCATAAAGCAGTATGTGTTTTAAAGGGAACAAAATATTTCTGTCTTCTCATACCATACTCCCCAGCCACATCAAGTATCTTTGTGTCTTACCCCAATAAAATTCCCGTCAGGCAGCCCAAGGATGTCTTAGGAATTCAAGAACACTAGAAGACACCAAATCCTTAAAGTTTGATTAAATTGTCTGAAATGCTGAGGGATTCTTCAATGAGCTTTTGATAGCAATCTTTCATTTAAACAAAGTAAATGGAAATTCAGGTGAGTCTTAAGTATCATTGCTTTCAAAGGCAAATTCATTATAGCTCTAGTATAAATTTCATTAAAAATAAAACCCACCCTATTCGTCAAGTCTTCTTCCACTCTGTCTTTTCTAACCAACTCTCTTGCACACATGTTAACTGGTGCCCACACTGGACAAGTCCTGGATTGCCTAATGTCACACAATTGGAGGGGACCAATTCTCCCATCTGATGGTTGGCTCCTCTTTGCAATGTGGCCCTGACAGATGCTCCCAGACAAGAGCAGGCCCTTGGCTGGTTCTGCCCTTCAACTATCAGAAAGACCGTCATCGTGCCCATTCAAGATCTGCCTCCCTCACTGCAGCTGACAGTCTCACTTCCGCCCTGTGGAGCTCTACTGAGTGCCTTTCATTCTTCTGCTATTTGAAGCAGCCCTGAAGAATTCAAAGAGTTATGTTCTCCTTAAGTTGCTTCTTCTCCAGGCTAAATACTTCAGCTGTTTTTCATCTTGTGTATTTCACCAGCCTCTCACAACAACCTGATCACCGTCTTGGTAAATGTCCCTCTTAGAACAGGGCACCCAGAACAAAACATAAATACTCCAGGAATCTCAGATGATGAGTTCACTTTCTCTTAAATTTTTCACATCACAACACTCCCTACAACTGTCATGTCATGAGCTAATTTTCCATTGATTGTCAAAATTAAATTCAGAGCAAGAGTTCTTCCTGTTGCTTCCACTTATCTTCTAGGAAGGCAAATTAATGACTTATCAGATGTTTTATATTTAACAGAATGGAACTTTGAACAGGTGACCCAACTTTGCTAAGCTTCAGATTCCTTACCTGTAAAATACAGATGATACTAACAGTACCCACCTCATAAGGTCTGACGAGGGTTATCAATGAGGAAATGTATAACGTGCTAGCACAGCGTCTGACACCCAGTAAGTACACCATAAGTGAGCCTAGTTATAATGTCTCAGATTCTTCCCTGTGGGCTTCCTCCCAGACCACACCACCCTGCACCTACCCTCATGACCGTGCCTTTCCACAGTGACAACTTATCCCGGGATGACAGGGCTGTCAGATCTCTGAAACAAGGAATCCCACTGTATCCCTGGGCTTTTGCCACAAATTTCATCACCATTTCTACAGATACCTTTGAAAGTGTTATACGTCTGTGTGTTAAAATGGAAAGGTTATAAAAACAACCAATTAAAGGGAACTTTGCTTATTGATCAGACTCTGTACACTGGCAGGTAGACATCTGCAGCCTGATACAGTACTTCTGAGCCTCCTGTCATTTTCTCTGAGGAGGATTTCAGGCTGATTTCTCTGGCCTTCCAAAGTATCTAGACTCACAGTCAGCTTCCCTCAACCCACTGCCCTGTTTTTGTGAGATGGTCCCTCTCTTATGGCAGGTGCCCACTGCTGGGTGTCACAGCCACAGTCTGGAGAAGCAGACCCTGTTTCCAGGACCCCTTCTACAGCTCAACAGATACCAGGCATAAATGATCAGCCGGGGAAACAACCCGTAGCTTCAGTTAACAGCTCAGAACCTCAAATTCAATCATAATAATACTTAAAATAAGAAGAATACAGGTCCACATCCTTTACCTAAGGCCCTTGCCCCCAGAGATGTTTTGAATTTTAGGAAGGTAATGAGGTCTGTGTGCCGCATATTACATATCCCACGCAGAAACTGTAGGGCGTCCCCTGTAGCCAAACACACTAACCTGCAGTGAGATGTAGCAGAGTCCACACCAAATGGAATAAAGACTGCAGGGGTTGACCCCCAGTTCAAGTCACATTTTATTGCCAGATTTATGTGCCAAAATTTTATGACAATAATTAAGAAAAAAACTTCAATTGTGATTCCTCTTTTGCCTTTTCAGAATTTTCTTTCTGCTTTTTGTCTTGTTTTATTTTATCCATCTTACCTAGGAATCCTTTCTTTCTGGCAGTAAGCTAGAAGATACAATAAAGAAACCTTCCCAGGCTCATCCTTGGAACCACAAGGCAGCTTTTTGGAAGAGAACGGAAATCACTGGTTTAGTTCAACCCCACTTATTAGGTATCGTATTATTGTAATGCTAGCATCCCTGAAGGCCTAAACCCACAAAATGGACTTACACTGTATCTGACGGAGTGGGCAGAGCTGAGAAATCTCTAAGTTCTACAGAAAAAGTAAAATGCAAATGACATTTCCATGGGTTTCATCCAAAAGTCACTCTACTTCAGTATCTGTGATATTTTAAATAGGTAGCAGATGCAAACAAAGAAACTGGGAAGAAAAAATACACACACACACACACATGCATACATATGTATGTGTGTGTATGTGTATATTCCGCTGGCCAGTTTGATTCAAATAACTCTATCAATAATATCCTCAAACTTTTAAATTTTATCTTATTTATTTTTTTGCACCTGGCTGGTAAGGGGGTCCGAACCCTTAACCCTGGTGTTACCAGAACCATGTTCTGACCAAGTGAGCTAACTGGCCTGCCCCCAAACTTGTTAAAAGCAAAGATTTGAGGGAAGATTACTTTCTTTCTAAAACGAGCATTGCCTCCTTCCCCAAATGTCAGCGTTTTAGAATTTTGCTGAAACTGGATTATGAAATGCAAATTTCAGTCAGATTTAAAAATATAAGCTGTATGGAACAAAATAAATACAGAAGAGTTGTGTTAACAAATAGGAAAGCCCAGCAACTTTAATTAAAGAAAGATTAAACCTTTTCCTTTCTTTTAAATGGCAGGACATATTAGCCAGTCATGGTCAAACTCTCCTGCAGGGAAATAATCAGCAGCTGGCTAGAACGTGCACAGTGCTGATTTCAAAACAGAGAGTGGGAGACAGGGAGAAGCAGAGGCCACCTGCCCGACAGAGCAGAAATACACGAACCCAGTTCATGTGGATGCTGGAAAAAGGACCAAAGAAACAGGCCTCTGTCGATGGGGTATTTTTCTTGCTTATCAGAAAAGTTCATAGCCCTTCAGGCTTTTGGCTGAATGTTTTCTGTAGAAGCATCCTCAGGTTTTGAGGCCCTCAGGAAACTCCACACACAAGAACCAAAAGCAGCCCCTTCACACTGACGTTCCCTGTCAGAGCCACTCTCCCTGTCCACGTGTCGTCACTGAATACCTTTCCAGTCCTCCACACTCTGCACCTGCAGTGGCTCATGCTTTCCTGGATAGCTGCCTCTTAAGTCACAGAAGCTTAGAGTTTTAGCACTCAAAAGAAAACTGAAAACAGCCTGGTCCAAATAAAGGGAGCAGCCCCTGATAGCCAGGCTTTCATGGGGGCAAGCAGAGGCAATCAGGAAAATTAAGAGAAGGAAACATGCAGAATTACCTGGAGAACCTGCTGCTAACAACTCTGTTCTGCTGACAACAAAGGTACGAGACAGGGACAAAGGAACTGAAAAATGGAGAAAAACAGGGTGAGACCATATCACAAGGCAAGAAAAGGGATCTCTGTAATCAAGGGACAAGAGTGGATATCTGTTCTACCAATATGAGCGTTCAATTCCAGAAATGCAAAGCCTAGATGATATTATACAAGCAAAAAAAGAACACACACTGCTTTCCAGGAAGAGGAATACAGGGAGGCTGAAATCAGGAGAAATCCTATTCATGTGCTTTCCGACTAGCCTAGAAATCTCTTAAGCCATTAATACCCAATTGGGGTTTATAGCTCAAAACGTGCTATTCTTAAGGACTTAAGTCACAAATAGCCACACAAAAGGGGAGCTCAATTAATCAACTGCCCTAAGAGCACACCCCAAGCTGCTGGTGCCCACACCCAATACTCACCCCACAGCCTACAGCCTCCCTACCTGTGGCAAGCAGTTATTCAGTTCTTTACATTCCTAATTAGTCTTATTGTAATTTTGACCCAATGCATTCTTTTCTTTTTGACCTGATGCTTTGAATTGCTTTGGAATGCTTTCAAATTTCAAAGTACAGAAAAGTAAACAACACAGATTTCTTGAGACTGGCAGACCAGAGTCATGCCCACCACTGCTTGGACAGGGAGCCATCGGTCCTGCCAATTCAAGAGTCCCATGAACATGCAAAGCTGGGCGGGTCTTGGGAACCAATTGTTGTAGGTTTTTTCTAGACAGCTAACATTAATTAATAGAAACTTTACCTTGAGATACCTATACTAATTATACCTCTCAATGAATATACAAAATCCAAAGTTGTAGTTGTAAAGGCAAGTAAAACACTAGGCTTAGGAATAAAGAAGATGCTATTAATGAAATTCTTCTTTTTTAGCAGTTCCAAACTAGGTGAGCAAGCAGTCCCCCAGGCTTCCTAGAGAAGGGCTGCCCTTCAGGTCCTTTTCTGAATGAGATTTGTTCTTACATTACAGTTCAATATGAACTGGGTTAAATTCAAATTTCAAGCACCAGTAATCAATAAAAATATACAATTTACTCTTCTAACTTTCTTTTCAAAGTCACCTTATAAATATGGTTCTGCTAACCTGGGGCTAATTTCAGGTCAGCTGCCAATGACAGTCACAATTACCAACACCTTTCTGCTATGCCAACATTTTCTCTTATGCTTTAAAGGCTATACAGCACATGTGTAAGTATCATAGCATTTTATTCTTCCAATAATCATATGAGGTAATATTATTACATGCTTTTAATATTGAGGAAACCAAGGGCCTCTCTCAATGTCACACACCATTATGTGAAGGAACCGAGGCTATAACCCAGGTCCTCATGCCTTTCTCACTGAATAGTGGAAAGGGAATATCACCTTCAAGTTTACAACAGAAACCTTCTAATTGAATAGGGCCATGTTCACACTTGGTGTTGGTCAGCAGCTGACAAAAGGGTCACTGTCCCTACAGGACTCAGAACCTGTACTGGAATAGTGAGAAGATGCATCTGCAGCAGAGAAGGTTTAGAAATATGAGAGAATTCTTGACATTTCACTGGCTTTCTCTCTGTAACGTTCTTGGGCCCTCAGACTACTGGATGGCACAGCAGATGAAGACCAATGTCACAAAAAATAGATTTGTCTGGAGGTATCCCCTCTCCTCTTAAGATTGGTTTTTGCAAGTGAGAGTGTTCTTTTAAGGTTTGAGGTTTGTAAAAGCTTCCTTGGACAGCATGTCATTTGGTACTTTGGCCACAAGATGGCACTCCAGTACCTCTGTTCACCTGCCTGACCTGTTTGAGCCTAGCAAATAAATGCACTTGATAAAGCAAGCAATGCAAACAGGGACCATTTAATTACTACCCTCAAGAAGTGAGCCCAAGGGCTAGCCGTGGCTCACTTGGGAGAGCGTGGTGCTGACAGCACCAAGTCAAGGGTTAAGATCCCCTTACCGGTCATCTTTAAAAAAAAAGAAGTGAGCACATCCACCAGGTATCTGTGTTCATGCTCCTTCATCTTGGAACTTGTGCTCAAAGAACTTAGTCCCCCACGGCATGTGCACCCTTAGCTGGCTGACTCAACTGGCCAGCTCTCTAGGTAAGAAGAGCTGGCTACAGGCAATAAACATACAGTAACAACCTCATTCATCCTCAGAAAAATGCAAATTAAAACCTGCCAAATAGTTAATATTTAAAAGACTCAACAATGCAAGATGTTGCATATAGAGAAACTGGAACCCTCACACAGTGCAGGCAGGAGAGTAAACTGGTACAACCACTTTGGAAAACTCTTGGGCAGTATCTACTAAAGCTGAAGATGCACATACCCTGTGACCCAGCAATTCCAGTCCTAGGTATATACCCAATACAAATGAACACGTGTTCACCAAAAGACGTACAAGAATGTTGATAGCCACACAATTCGTAGTAGCTCTAAACAGGAAACTACTCAACGTCCATCAGCAATAAAAAGGATAAATGCCTTGTATATTCACACTACACAGCAACGAGAAGAAATAAAGTTTAATCACACCCAATACAGGTGAATGTGACGAGCATAACACAATGAAAGAAGCCAGACTCGATATAATACATGTTGTGTAATTCTACTTATACAAACTTTTTATTTATAAAAAAAAAAAAAAAAAGGCAAAACTAGTCTATGCTGAGAAGTCAAAATAGTGTTTACTTTTGGGGAATAGTGACTCAAAGGGGTTCTGTGGGATTGGTGATGTTCTGTCTCTTGATCTTGGTGCTGTTTCACATGGGTGTGTTCATGAGTTTATGAAAATTCATGGAGGTGTATATGATTTGTACAGTTTTTCTTGTGTATATGATATAATTTAATAAAAAGTTCAAAAAGGTAATTAATAAGGTCAGCTGGCAAGTACAGACAGAAAGATGACAGTAAAGGACATAGTTACCCTTGGTAGCTGTGCATTCAACCAACCATGGACTGAACCAAATGTGGAACCCACAGATATGGAAGGGGACTATACTACACCATTTTATATGACGGACTAGGGTATCTGAGAATTTTGGTATCTGTGGGGGTTCCTGAAACCAATCCCCCCCGATACTGAGGGATGACTGTACTTCCTAAAACCTGGCCCCGCCCTGACAGGCTGAGACCGAAACTCACCTGGAGAGGCTGTAAGGGCCATCACACCATAGTATGAAAAAGCACTTGCTTCAAACTTCATGCCTTCTTTCCCAGCTTCTACTTCCACTTTCCCCTAGAAAGAAAAGGGGAGTATTTTCAGTCCAGCTGCATGAATCCAGATGCACACTCTATGCAAAATCTGGTCATTCCTCAGACTTTTGTCTAAATTCCTTTCCCAACAAATAATCCCCAGGAGGTAAAACTTCAGGTCATCTTTCCCACTTAGATAGAGGAGTCAATTAATTAGTCTTAAATATGAAAACTGGATTTAGATGGATACATGGAAGTGACTAAAAGTGTGGTGTTTAATTTCTGTGAATCCACTTAACATTTTCCCCCAATATCTTCAGTTCTTGGGTTCTTCAGGAGCCCTCTAGTAATAAAAAGATGCTCCAACTCTGGCTCCACCAGGGAGACAAACACTGAGAAGATGCTCAGTGACGGTTGTCCAAGCTGGCCTGCCAGAGCCAGACTTGGGGCAGAATCAGGGCCAAGGCTCAACATGGTTTGAGGCCATGGAACAGAGAGGAGTGAACTGGCTCCCAGAGGCAGGACCCACCCTCATCTCCCAAGCACAGTGTCCTGACCAACTGAGAAGACCCCTTGCAGCCAATGCCTTGTTGTCCAGACTCCCTGGAGGCACTTCTGCACCATGGTACCTTCTTCTCACTGTACTGGAAAAGCACCATGACAATGTCTCCTTCCATCAGAACAAAATCCCCCTCCCCCCAAGGTTTTCCTGTTTCTTCCCTTTCTCTAACTTATCTACAACTTCTCTTCCTTCCCCTTTATCAGTTCTGCTGGGACATGCTGTGCCTCATTCATCCCCGTCACCCTAGGGTCCACTATAACACCTTCATGGTAGGTGCTCGATATGCATTTTCTGGGCTACTGAAATAGTCTCCTGAGTTTCACTTCTAGATTTCGAAGCCAAGGGTCAGAGAGGCTCTTGTGCATATTGCCTATTGAACAGGAACTGTGCTAACACTTCAGTGCTTTATTAATTCACTTAATGCTCACCACTCTATGAAACAGGCACAATTATCCCCCTTTTACAAATCAGGAGAATAGGGTTCAGAAAGAGTTAGTAACCAAATAACAAACCCTTAACCAATATGCTATACTATGACCCCTACTGATGCAAAGTCTTATTTTGATCACTTGCTATTTAGTTATTCTATATTAAATTCCCAATTATGAAAGACCCTTCTCTAATCACTTATTCAGAAGACCATCTATTGCCTCTCTTTTAGGTTTTCCTTTACTCAGTGAAAATATTGGTTTTACCTATCCCCAACCAATTTTCTTGCTATAAGAAAGGCATTTAAAACTCCACCGGTAATATAAAACCAACCCACAAACAAGCAGGCGCTGACCCCGACCCCCACTCCCATGCAGGCAGTGCCCTACAGGAGATGCCAGAGCTGTGGGAAGACAGTCCTTGCCCTCTGGGAGCTTCCCGTCCAGCAGGTAGAGGAAAGCACGTGAGAACCAATGACACAGGGCAGTAAACCAAAGTTCCACGTGAGGAAAGAGACAATAAGAATGTAAGGAATTTTTGTTTTGGGTTTTTTTTTTTAAAGTTTACTTCCTGTTCTTGTATAAAGACAAATTTTATACAGGAAGAAAAAGCTAAGGGTGAGCAGGATTTGGTTGAAGAAGAGAAAGGGAGGGTGTGAAGGAAGGTGTGGGTGGGTGGCAGCAGCGGCCAGGCTTGCTGGGTGGCATGGGGAGCGAGCTGAGTCTGGAGGGCAGCTTGGTGGCCAGCCTCGGCGGTGGCCCTCCCCAGATGGCAGGCTGGGGGTCAGCCTCCTGAGCAGAAGATGATGAAGTCCTGACTTCCGCTAGGGGGTGGCCGTGGAACTGGGAAGAGGTTGCTACGAGAGAAGCTATGGATAAGGAGTCAACATAATTTGGTGAAACCACTGGGGAGAGAGAAACATCACCAGGTGAGAGGGAGCCAGTAATCACAGAAGTCTGCTCTGAGCGACGTGAAGAGCGGGGACAAGCGAGGATAAGCAGGGGAAGGACAAGCTGGGAAGGGCTGCAGCAGCAGGGCTGGGAGGAGAAAACAAATTCCACATCAGAACAACGCCTTTTGAAGAGGCTGGAAAAGGCAGAGATGGAGGAAAGAAGGCTGGGGGAGAGGTCAGAGCTGGAGATCTGAGAGTGAAGAGAAAGTACACGGAAAGGGAGAAGGACTAAGCTGTCACCTGTGACTGGGAGTGGATGAACCAGAAATTGAAATGGGACCGAAGGAACAGACAGGAGAAGCCAGACAGCTGGATCACCACAGAAACCAGGAGAGGCAAGAGTCCTTGAAAAAGGGATGGCCAGTGGCGTCAGATGCCACCAGGAGGTCAGGAGAGGACTGTGAGTGATGAGGGCACCTTCAGGAGCACTTGCCGCCCCCTGAGAGGACGAAGGCAGATGCAGGGAGCAGGGGGCAGGCAGCAGGAGGCCACGGTGGCGGGGCCACACACTGGGACTCAGGCCCAGATGGACATCAGTGTGGAGGAGGAGAGGTGGCAACTGAGAAGCAACAGCCAGAGAGAACAGGGTGCCAAGCAAAGGGACCGAAGTCAGAGGAGGGCCGCTCAGGAGACAAGGGGAGGAAGAGGGAAGACAAGGTGGCAGAGACCCAATGTTTGGGGATGGCAAGCGATAAAAACAAAGCACCTGATGGTGAATCTCCTCTCAGTTACTTAGCCTTCTCTTCTTGGACTTTGTGTCAGACAGTTAACATGTATGTATATGCTACCTAAAAATGCCCTGTAATTTGGACTCTCAAGAGTGGCTGCCGGACCACCTCTGACCCTGAACTTCCATGCAGAAAACGAGGAGAAAAACTCAAATGCAACAGAGCCTCACACTGACTTCCAACTCTATGGATCTCCAGCTGACCAGGATGATTTGTTTTACAAGTTACAGGGCCTTTGAGTTCTGTGTCCCTGCAGACGGGCATCAGTTCACAATTCTTTTGTGATAAACTCTCAGAACCAGCAGGGCAGTAGCCACTACCAAAACAAGACTGAAAAATTGTACTCTATCTCTTGGAAAAGAGCTTGTTCCTGGGGCAGTACTTACTACTCTGATGCGTGGAACCTCTGCCTAGCAAATTCTAAGGCAGAGATTCCAAATACTGATGTCTGGCTCCCACTCTCAGCCATTCTCTTTAGTAGGGGATGCAACCTGGGCATTAGGATTTTAAGAAGCTCTCTAGCAAGCAGCAAGGTTTGGAAATCATTGCTTTAAGGCTCTGATTATGAATGACTGCCTCGGCTCTATAACTCGGCATACCCTGGCCTCTCATGAGACTCCCTCACAGGCATAGTGGCGGTAAGTCTGCTAATTAAACAAGGACTGCTGCAGAAAGATTCAAAGCTCTAGACTGAAGCCATTTCTGCTGATGTCTCCCCTGTACTTAAGACAGCACCCCAGGCAGGGGAGGATCATCTATCTTTCTTCTGGGTTCTACCTGGTCTAGATCCATCAGGCTACAAGGTAAATATACTAGGTCAGTGGTTCCTAGACATTTGGATTCCAAGAACTAGTAAAAAGCATCTCTGCCCCAAAACTGGGGACAGACATAGGGTTGCCAAATTTTTATTTCATAAAATAAAGATATTTTTTAAAACAGCTATCTACTGTTACCATTTCATAAAAGACCAGACATTTTAACCCCCCAAATTTAGAAAATATATAATTTCAGAATAAAAGGTCTTCAAACTGGATACATATAGCTTTACTTAACAACAAAAAAAAACTCCAACTATCTTCTTCTCATTTTGTCTCAAACTGGCAAAAACTTTGTCAAAGTATGAGTAGTGAGGAACCACCACACTAGATTAATTTTACTTTATTTATAAAATTGCAATAGATTAAAGGATCCCTGCATTTCTTTCATTCTAATATTCTATGATCCTACAATTCTAAGTTTTAATAACTGCCCAACCCTACAGCCCTCGCTATGGGAGTTAAGCTTTTCTGTCAAGCAAGTTTTAGAAACATCCAGTAAACACATCTTTTATCCATTTATGTGTGTCTGTGATTCCAAAAAGTGATCATTTTCAAATAAACCTCCCAGTATACACAGTACAGCCATCCCCATGAGGAAATGGCTTACTTGCTCAAAATCACTCAACGTCTTCTCAGATAACTTTTTCCATGTAAGGAAGGAGCTACATATCGATTTTACTTCTGAGGCGTTCATAAACTAACTCAGCTCTAGCATATTCCTCCCCAAATCATGACAGGACATGACGGACTCCAAGCATTCCCAAAGGGAACCAGGGCTTCACACTTGTAAGCTGACATATCAGGAAGGAGGCTTCACTGCACCAAGCAAAGCTGGCTTCCTGTGTCAAGTTTCTGTCACAGAACCCTACCTTTCTTTGGACAAAGGTATTATAAAGCCTCTCCTCCAAATTTCTAAGTGTTCACAAAGACTAAATTTGTCTCATGCCCTAGCTGGCCTCAAAGTGGAATCCTCCGCTAGCCTAGTCAGTGCCACACGGCAGCACCACTGAATGCCACAGACTCCTGGAGACTGAAGATCCCTCAGCTACTGTATGCTGAGCAGCTACTTGGCCTCCTGCTCATTCTTGAGTTCTTTTTTTGTTTTGTTTTGCTTTTGTTTTTTTAAATAACTACACAAAGTACTCAGTGGGGCTTGACACCCCAGAGGAAGTAATTAAATGCCAGGGGCACAAACATCAGGCTGTGTTCACGAGCAGTCCCTGCAAGAGGCGAGAACCACTCAAAGACGTCCATGCACGGCCTATGTGACTCTGGAATGCAAATGCTCTCTAACAATGTTTTGCAATTTGGAGTCTGCCAATGTAGTCCTGGGACTCTGCAGGTTTGCTTTGTAAATGTTTAACTTTTAAAAATTTCAATGGTCAGGGCCGGCCGGGTGGCGCACTGCTGCAGTGCGCCGCTTGGGAAGCGCGGCGGCGCTCCCGCCGAGGGTTCGGATCCCACATGCAGACCGGTTCCCGCTCACTGGCTGAGCGAGGCGCGGGGGCGGCGCCGAGGGTTGCGGTCCCGTTGCCGGTCCCGGTCCGGTGCGGG